AATGGGGAGGGTGAAACTATACCCCCATTTCTAGTGGTTCAAGGACAGGTTCATCTTTCCAATTGGTATACCGAAACCGATTTTCCTGCGGATTGGGCTATTAAACCTACATCTAATGGATGGACAAACAATGAGACAGGTTTAGAATGGTTGAAACACTTCGACAAGCACACTAAGAACCGAAGAAAGGGCAGGTATCGAATGTTGGTACTAGACGGGCATGAAAGCCATGAATCAAGAGCTTTTCAAGCATATTGCAAAGAGAACGATATTATATGCTTAAGTCTACCACCGCATTCAAGTCATTTAACTCAACCACTTGATGTGGGCTGTTTTAGCAATCTGAAACGTTCATATGGTGGTCAAATTGATGGATTTATCAAGGCACATATCAATCATATTTCGAAGGTTGAATTCTTTATAGCTTTTAAAGCTGCATATAAAGAATCAATCATCTCTCAGAATATGAAATCAGGATTTCGAGGAACAGGTTTAATACCATTTAACCCTGAAGCCGTACTTTCGAAGTTAGATATTCGAATTCGTACACCTACCCCTCCCTCTTTCGATCTAGATCAATGGATCTCTCAAACCCCTCACAACCCAACTGAAGCTCTTTCTCAATCAATTTTAGTGAAATCTCGAATAACCCGACATCAATCAAGCTCCCCTACACCTATATTTGAGACTGTACTAGCTCTAGCTAAAGGTACAGAGAGATTAGCTCATGAGAATACACTTTTGAATGCAGAGATTCGTACACTTCGAAAGGCAAATGAGGCATTAAGCAAGCGTCGACGCGCGAAAAAAAACCCAATTACGTCAAGGAGGAGTACTTACTGGGCAAGAAGCTCTTGATATATTATCTCAACAAGAGGTTGATATTCAGATTCAACGCGACGAGCGTCAAAAAGGGAGGAATTCTAATGAAGAAGCATCTTCTAGTCGATGCTGTAGTAAGTGCGGAAAGACCGGACATAATGCAAGAACTTGTCAAGATAATATAATAGATCCTAGATTATTATAATTTTCATAGTTTTAATCAATTGATTCAATGGTTGTTGAATAATATGAGTTTGAAAGAGTGAATTGAGGTGAAGATGACCCGCACACTGATATGACCCGCACACTGATAAATCACGTTATTCAAATTGTTTAACTTAATTATTTAATATTAATTATTTTAGTAATTTAAAACATTTATATAATAATCAAATTAATAAATTTATTAAAGTATATATTAATTATATTTCGAAGATTGAATTCTTTATAGCTTTTAAAGCTATATATAAAGAATCAATTATCTTTCAAAATATAAAATCAAAATTCCAAAAAATAAATTTTATTTTATTTAATTCTGAAGTTGTACTCTTGAAATTAGATATTTGAATTTATATACCTATTTTTCCCTCTTTCGATCTAAATTAATAAATCTTTTAAACCCCTTATAATCCAATTAAAATTCTTTTTTAACTAATATTAATTAAATCTTAAATAATTTGTTATTAATTAAATTTATCTATATTTATATTTGAGATTATATTAATTCTAGTTAAAAATATAGAGTAATTAGCTTATAAAAATATTTTTTTGAATTAGAGATTTGTATACTTTAAATAATAAATAAAGTATTAAATAAATATTAATATATATAAAAAACTTAATTATATTAAAAAGAATTACTTATTAAATAAGAAGCTTTTGATATATTATCTTAATAAAAGATTAATATTCAGATTTAATATAATAAATATTAAAAAAAAATTTAATAAAAAAGTATTTTTTATTCGATATTATAATAAATATGAAAAAAACAGGTTATAATATAAAAACCTATTAAAATAATATAATAAATTCTAAATTATTAGATTTTGAATAATTTTAATTAATTGATTCAATTGTTATTGAATAATATAGATTTGAAAGTGTAAATTGAGGTAAAAATGATGTATACACTAATATAGTGCATGCACTGATAAACTATGTTATGCGATATTCAAGTGCAGATAAATTACAAATCAAAAAGTTCGAGAATTCTTTATATACTTCATTCAATCCCGTTCTCAAAGTGATATTTATGAACGACCGTCTTACACAGTTACATTCTCATATCACTCCCAAAATGGCTTCCCAATCAGACATTCATCTCTACACAACCCAAACTCCCAATGGAATCAAGATATCCATCACTTTGGAGGAACTTGGTCTTTCCTACGAGGTACACAAGATTGATATCTCCAAGAACACTCAAAAAGAGCCATGGTTTCTTGAGATAAATCCTAATGGACGAATTCCTGCTTTGACCGATACATTCACGGATGGAAGGAAGATTAGTCTGTTCGAAAGTGGTAGCATTCAACAGTACCTCGTCGATAGATATGATACCGAGCATAAGATCTCATACCCAAAGGGTACAAGGGAGTACTATGAAGTCAACAACTGGGTAGATCATTTGATTTTTTTTTGATCCCAAACACAACAAACTGACATGATAACTAGCTCTTCTTCCTCAATGCTGGTGTAGGTCCCATGCAAGGCCAAGCTAATCACTTCTCAAAATATGCCCCAGAGAGGATTGAGTATGGTATCAATCGTTACACAAATGAAACAAGGCGCTTGTATTCCGTTCTCAATACCCGCCTAGAAAAGTCAACCTCTGGTTATTGTAAGTATAATTGACTCCCCTATCCTTACTTCATACTTAGCCACCTAGTGCATACCTTACAATTTGGTTGTTTACTATGGCCAGGGGCTCTCCTATGTCCCCTACTCATCTCAAAGAAACACCACTAACAACACACTTTAGTGGTTGGTGACAGATGTACAATCGCCGATATTGCTCACTGGGGTTGGGTAACTACTGCTTTTTACAGTGGAGTTGATATCGAGGAATTCCCAGCTCTGAAGGCATGGGATGAAAGAATGGAAAAGAGACCTGCAGTTGAAAAGGGTCGTCATGTACCAGAGCCACACAATATCGCAGCCTTAAAGAAAGACTCTGAGCGTGAGGCAAAAATGAAGGCTGCGGCAGAGAAAGGTAGAGAATGGATTCAGGCAGGTATGAAGTCCGATGCCAAGAAATAAATTCTTGACGATGGATAAGGGGTAGCAGGGCTGATGTTTGATTACTTGTGCTACATTTCTCAATCAATCTCTAATGAGCATTCGTTGAAATGACCAAATTTGTCTGTTGATCGATTGTTCTTTCGTGCCGTACGTTTTAGTTTGACCAAGCTCGAGGCTTTGCTCTTTTGTGAGGTAGATTGCAATTTGATTGTTTACTTCCAGCCACTGGCCGTTTTCTCAGCGCCAGAGACGCACGTCTTTCTAGGTCTAAGTCAGGCCCAAGTTCAATTGGACGGGAGTTTCGATAGCTGTGATGATTCTATGCCATGGTAAACAGTGTCTAGTATGACTGACAGTTTTCGGAATACCGTGGGAACGTAAAGTACGAACGACCAATTGGCAAGACAGTAAGAGACATCGAGCCATCCTTATATGAGTATATACTACCCCCTGGAACTATCATACTCCGAAGTTTTTTCCTTCTTAAATTGCATTTTGGCAAAGGTGTACTAGGAGTCCTTACCTCCTTGAACTTTGGACCCATTCTTGAGCTCAGAACTTGAGAGCTTGAAATTTTGTTTGATTGTCTATTGCAATTTGGTGCAACAAATACAGCTGAAGTCAAAGTGGAGGGGTAAAACACACAAGCAATGGACTGAAATGGATTGTCTCAAGGTGAAAGAGCATGACTTACAAAGTGACCTCGAACCCTATTTCCCTTAAGAGTTGGAAGCGGAAGGCAAGTTTCGATGGATTTTTTTAGACTAATCAACTTTATTTATGCCCTTCCGAGATCATCTGGACCATGTCGTCCATCTGGAGGAAATCTCACACAACAACCAAAGATTAACTCCCTATAAGGGTTGAATAACAATATCAGCCTTGCCTCTTGTAGGTGATTTCATAAACTTTCTAGCATCTACTTTGTACGAAATTTTTTCGCATGGTTACTGCACACGATCTTGCGATAAATCCTTAACAGTGGTAATGGCTCAAATAATCAGCTACCGTGGCTTAATTAAACTTCCTCTTGGCTTCCAGTATTTCTTAGGTTCTGCCTACATTGAGAGAGACTCCTGATTAGACAGGCTGGTCAATAGAGATGCAGCCGGGCTGTATGTAGGTATGGTCCGTAACGAAAAGCAGCTCGAGCCACCACAGTACGACCAAGAAGTGGACCGACTTTTCGCTAAAGTAGCTCTTCGATAATGTTTTTGATTTATGTATGGATTAATTATGAGAAGTGTGTGAATCAAGAGATTTTTAAATCCTATATATGCACAGATTGATGGTGTTAACATCTCAACTCAAGTTCTCTCGAAGTGCTGGACAAATCACGGACTCATTATCAACTGATTCTCAAAAATCACGTTCTTGTTTGTGGGAAAGAGAAGGTCATGATTGAAGTGACCAGGTCTCTTATTTGCCTTGATTCAAGGCAGATATGATACTATTAAAACCATCGGTATGACAGGACTAATAATTCGTCATCTTCCGGGTCTGAAATAAGGCTTGTGCATGTGAACATTCAGATTGGCAGTACTCAGACCCCTTCCGAATTCAGATCTGTACCTCGTTATCATTGAGAAAGGGCTAGGAGATATGTTGGATTATAGCCAACATCTCCACTAATGGTCATTCTGTTGTACGGACCGAAAAACGATAGGAGTGGTTGTGTTGACCATCTATCAATTATTAGGTAGATTTCGGTGGTTACCAATGATTTTGAAGTTTTGGGTGGAGGCAACCATAAGATACACTGGTGGAAGAAGTCTAAACTGTGTTGGAATAGTATATGAATGGAAGCTTTTGTGCTTTCCATTTCCAATCTCATTCCATCTCACTTCACATTTTCAACCTCAATCCTAGAGAACAATAATCTTTTAAATTTCGATTACAACTTGATCCATTACTCCATCAGTCCATCTATCACAATGTCAGGAAATAGATCCTTGCCGTCCGGAAGTACCGGATCACGCGATAGTACCCCGTCGCTCAAGAGCGATCACGGTAGTATGTCCAGTAATACAAGCCAGGAAACTCTAGATAAAAGAAAGAAGGTGAAAGACGAGAAGGAAGCTGAAGATCGGAAGAAAGCAGAAAAGGTGGAAAAAGATCGAAAGAAGGAAGCGAAGAAGAATGCACAAGATAAAAGAGAGCCACCACTCCGAAGGAATCAAAGGATGCCTAGCGGTGGTACTGGGAATGCTACTGGTGGAAGTGGAAGTGCTAGTAAAGAACCAGCCAAGTAATAAAGTTGCGAAGGAAAACAAAATGGTAGAAGTTGTCAAAACTTCTTGAATTAATACTGTTGTTTTGAGGATTACGAGGATCGCGGAAAGGGGTTCGGGAAAGATCAAATCACTAGAATCCCACGAGTTGTTTACCGAGTTTGCGTTTTGATTGTTTGACTGCCTAGTAGCGTATAGCAGGAGCTAGAGGAAAATAGATAGGTTCAGCGAATTTGGAATTCAATGTTGTTCTTTTAGGGAGTCTTCAACAAGGCCTGCATGATACTTTGATTGACTATGTTTCTTGACTCTGTGTAAATGGACTTCAATTGAAGACTTCCCATCCGGCCCAAAGTGCTTTAAGTGTAGGTGAAACGAGGCACACTACGAAATTCAAGTCAAAATCGGAAGAAAGTTATTCTACACTAGCTAAGGGGTCTCTAATATTCCAGACTCCAGTCCGGGAATTGAGAGTTTTCGGAGTACGAATAACATTCAATGACTCTAAAATCTGGATTGTCTTTGGATATTATGCTGCTTCGATAGTCTGTACCCAGTCTGCCACTCTTGACTATATTCAGACAATTACAGGCTCTCAATCCCCGAAGACAATTGGTACATTCAACGGATCTGAGATACCGGATTTGCTTTGGATATCATACTTCTTTCAGGCATTCGAAACCGGACTATTGAGAACCTTGCATTGCTTCCCTAGCTTGCTGAGAGACATCAACTCAAGATCAATTAGACCGTTCTCAAACCCATGGCATTTTTAGAACCTCTCCATTAGTCACCCCAGGCTTCCCGAATAAAACTTCAGCCGTCGAGTTACCAGCTTCCAATCTCATTACAATATTGAACAGCGTACTGTTTCTTGTCTCCTTTGGACATTCTGGATCTTCTTGACAACAAATCGCTTGCGGTGCATTGAAAGTATCCGAGAATAATCTTTCCCTCAAAATATGTCCAATGTCATTATTAATCTGCAGGCCATTCCTCATATCCTTGATTAACTCACTAACCAGAATGTTGGCTCTCTCAAGTCTCACCGGACTTCCCTTGAGCCAAAATGGTTCGCTAACCAATTCATTCTTGATAAAATGATTTGTATGTGCGACGAATCCATCATCACATGGCTCCAAGAAACAATTTCCAACAGGTGAAAGCTCCATACTCAACGTTCTGTTGGGATCTGCTATAAGAATATGTTGACTCGACGCCACACCACCTAATTCCTCGATTGATCCTACAGCCTTTTCCACGCTATCACTTTCTAGACAAATGCGTAGTGCAATGTGAATTGGAAGCTCATAAGTATGTGTTGGACGAGCTCTAATGGCATTGAGACATACGCCGACACCAGCAGAGTTGAAGCCAATTTTACCTACTATTCCTGCCTATGTTCTGTTAGTTTGCTGTATCGTTGCCGACGCAGACCCAAAGTTATTAGAGATAACAGACAAAAGTCATACCTCAGTCACCATCCAAATTTTCTCGTTCCCCTTTCTCTCTATCTCCACCATCGCTAAATTCTTCTGAACATTCTCAGTCCAGTCCCAATTTTGTGCCAACACCATCTTTCCTTCTACATCCTTCCCCTGCATTTTCCAACCTAAACTCGTACACCCATCGGTAAATCTCCCCAAAGCGATTTCACTCCTACAGTTAAGTGCTATGATATCCAGAATATCAACACCTGCACCCTCGGCAATGCCCACCATTTCATCATAGATATCTGGTGTTAGCTTTTGGATTGTGACTTGAAATTCCTTAGCAATTTCGTGGACTTCGGTCCATGTTAATGAAGATGTGGATTGAAACATTGCATTATATATCTTCATCTGATCTTTAATCTCAGAAGATAGAAGATTGCCATGTTCAAATCCTATCTACACAGTGTGAGATGCTTATCAAGTGAAAGTGGGGGATATTTGAGAGAGGCGCGAGGAGAGAGGATTTACCTCTTTTGGAGTTCCTTTGAGTACAAGTTTCTTGGGAAAATGAGAGAAGGACATAGTAATATTTGGTATATGTATATATAGAGAGAGTTATTTGTCAATGTAGTATCCTTTTCATGTCAAGATTGATGTCGAACGTTATCAATCAGAGAGAGAAAGATAGACGATTACCCCGCGGTGGGGCAAACTTACCGAGAAATGACCGCGTAGCCGAATTTCTTTTCAACGTTCTGTTCACATCATCACTCTACAGGTAAATGATACTAGATCTAAGAGTCTTCCCAGTATCGAGTCTAGACTCGACGATTGAAGCAGTATAGGTACATGATTCCCACACGATTTGGACATTGTGCTGGGTTCCCAAACCCCTTGATGTTTTGTCGAACGAGTAGATAGTGGGAAAGTGCCCGAGATTTGGGGCTTCATACCAGGGACTCAAAGTAGCCTTTTGAGAATACATGTGTGAAAGTTACACGGTTGTGACGAGGGATGAGGTAATGATTCCTCTCATCACAGTCGCGAGCAAGGTTCATTGATTACGTGCCTAGCATCAACGCTCTCACACCTTTTCCATGAATCCTTCCTCATTCATTTGGTAGTTGTCTCTTTCCGTGCCCATCTGTGGGTAACTTGATTATTGCGGTGTTTCACATTATTTGCTACTATCAGTCTTATCATTATTCACCTAACTGGTCCCATTTGAGTTTGAAATCTAAGCATATTCACTGGAGCATGCAACGTGAAAACAAAGATCAGACTGTTCATATACAGACCATTGGAAAAACATTTGAACAGTCAACTAACCAGAAAGTAGCACACGCGTGACCCAAAGTTCAGCCTTGCGAGGTTACTATTATATTCACCTTTGATTTTTTTCCTTCTCAACATCACAACAAAGTCGCAATTGAAGAAATGGACAAAAATGGCGAATTACACTTCGAGGCGACCAGAAATGCTCGATAGATTGTATGAAGAAGGCAGATCGAACATGGTATATCGATATGCGTTCAAGGATGCCCAAAATAGTGAGGCGATTGCGCTTTTGCCTGAGCAAGAAAAGCTACAGGCAATTGAGCGCGCTGTCTACAAGAAGCTCTGTAAGTATCATCAACAATCATTGTTCCATCTCTAAAACAAAACACTAACAATTCATAGTCGGCGGTGATCTCACGGATAAGAAAGACACTACCAAAAACGCAAATTTTATGGCTGAGCCCAAGAAAAACGATGTTTCCCAATCTAACCACCGTCAAAACCCGGGAAAATCTGCTACTCCTGTCGCCAAAAAGAAGAACGATACCCAAGAAGCCAGAGGTCCAGTCGATTCTAATACCACAAAGGTGGTTGCCGGCATCAGTCATAGGGATCAAGCCGCAAAAACTCCTCCTCCCGACGAAAGCCAGTTGACGGATAGACAGAAGCGAGTCTTAGTAAGGCAGAAAGCATTCAAAGCCAAGATAGGTCCTGCCGCTTGACATAGAATGCAAGAGACAAACAAGATACTTGCTGTAGAAACAGCCAGACGTGACGCAATTTTGGACAAGCGCAATAGATTGCTGCCAATGAGACCAGGTGGTATAATCGAACAATTCTCGACATACGCTCAAGCTACCTCCGACTGCGAGTATTGCTGGTTTGCTGAAGATGGTGCACAAATGAAAGAGGTTGAACGGAAGTTGGATGTCAAAGTCATGTTTGTCTTTGAAAAATCTCATCGGTTTCGTCTCTGGCCTGAACCAGCAGATTGGGATGCCTTTGAAAAGGATCATGCGGAGGGAATGGAATTGCTTGCTAGATGCGAGATATATATGGAATTCTGGGTTTGGATCTTCACATCTACAGGTCGTGTAACAGATCGAATTCCATTGACTTCTTGTCTTGAATAGGTTTTGCTTGGGGAGGGTTCTCCTGAGTACAAGACACTTACCAGATTGGCTTCTGCCACAAAACCATTGACAGATGTTGAAGCTAAGGAGGCATTTAAGAATGATATTCAAGAAGTACATAGGTAGTTGATGGAAAGCGTTGCCAGCTGTCATTAAGGTTCAAGATAGGAAGTTGGGAAAAGCACAATGTATATATCAAAGCAGATATAGATCCAAAAACCATCGCTTGTTGATGATCAAAAGCACCTATGAGAAACAGGTTCCTAGGTAGTGAGGCTCAAAGATCGGGTTTTTAAACAACACCACCACAGCATCACCAGCTAAAATCAATAATCGTCACTTCCAACCCTCGAATAATCAAATTCTCTGGACAGTGTATTTAGATCATCCACTCATCCAAATCCAAATCCAAATCCAAATCCAAATCCAAATCATAAATCTACACCACCTACAGTATTGATCCATTTATCCATTCCTATATAACTAATTTATAGTCTTGCCATCAAGGAGTCCAGATCAACATTCATCTTCTAGACTCCTACTCATGACAATACCTATAAGTTCCAAAATAATTCAAGCCACTACCAGCTTCTAGTCATACTGAATATCTTTAAGTAGAAAGCAATAACCTTGAATGACTGAAGAGACGATTGAAATTATATTAGTGGTGATATTCTCTAGTTTTCTATTCGTGGCGACACTCATGTATATCATGACTCCATACTCTTAGCCAGTCATTCAAAACGATTCCACAGTTGATTAAGATCCATTCTACAAATTCACACTGGACATTACGAGTTCCGAATACACGCTCAAAACAATCTCAAGTCACTACCAGACATCAAAATCAGCATTTTGAGTAGGAAATGATTAATTCAATAGACAATATTTGATTCGTAACAGTCAAACACTGTTCGTGAGTCCAAAATACCAGAACTTGCATAAATTTGAATCATTTCTGAATCTCTATCCATACAGAACGCTCAAATGAACCGTCATATCCTCGACTTTATATTATTCTGCTTGAAACATGTCATAAAAGCCATGAAATGACTGGAGTTATCCCCAATCCTCGGTCTTTGACTCCAAATTTGTATGTAGAACACTAATTCTCGAACTCTTAGCTGAGAGAAAATGTGTTTATATACTTTCGCCTTCTCCCTCTGGCTACATTCTTTTCTCTTCTTTTATCCAACTCGATAAAGTCCACATCCAAAATATCGAACACTCACAGTGTCTTATTCATCACAGCAATACAGCACACCCCAACCAATTCCAAACAACGATGGAGCGCAACTCCCCCCTCCCTTGGGGATGGAAGTGTAAACGCATGGTAGAGATATGGTCAGATCCGGAAATTCCTCCATCAACAGTACGTATCCATCGAAAAGGTCAACCTTATACAATTACAAAGACTGATATATCTCTTCAATTTAGTTGTCGTTGCGATCTTGTGGCACACTGAACGAAGGTGAAGATGTTTGCACGGCGTGCAATACATACATAGAAATTGCAACATTTGAAGTTGTTCATCAAACGGCCCCTCCACCTCCACCTCCTCCTACACGAAAACGTACGTCCCGCCGTGGCCCTACTCCTCGCTGATGAACAGCTTCATTCCATCACAACTCGCGTGTTTACCCTGATCCTTCCCATTCCTCTTCGCAAAGTCTTCACACTTCGCTTACATCAACGATACCCGCACATTTGTCTGGCTTTAGACGGCGGTCTCAAACGCATCCACTCATTACACTCCCTCAATTTCCTTCTGCCTTAGTAATCTTTCCGACTTACCTTACAAGCTCCCAGCACAACCACCACCAGCAATTTCAGTCCAACTCAGTCCTTCCCTGAAGAAAAAACTCGGTGTCCTACCCAATGAACTCGCTCCTGCCTGTGGATCGAAGCTCCGAGTCGAGTCGTCATTTCACATGGTATTTTCACGAGTAGATGTCCTTCTATTGTCTATGATTTAGTTCCAGAATCAAGAGACGCAACTAGAGCATTGTGTTCCCCTTCGATTCTTCCTGTAATTAGTCAGAATAGACGAAATCATAGATGGATAGACAGATAGATACCAAGAGTAAACAACCAGCTGATCATTGACCTGTTGCCTTTGCTTCGTGAAACGTGATGCCTTCATTCGCGTTTCCTTCTGTCTAGCAAAAACCCACTGAAATGACCGGATACCCCTTTAGCTCTAACTATTTATCTTTCTAAATTGTTGATGTAGTAAGGAAGGAGATCAGTGTGTGTACGCACCCTCTGGTTATCCTACCAACTCAACCGTTCCTCTTCGTTCACTCCTTATCCCTACCCTGTCCATACTAATTTACACCACACACCCATCGCTTCCGTTATCAGGTATGTATTTACACGAACTTCAATCTACCCAATCCCAATCCAACTTTTCCCGTCCTTGTCTTGACTTCCTTTTCATCACCCCTTTCCCTCATGACCCCTCTTCCCACTTTGTCCTCTCAACCTTCCGCCCTGCCGCCCCTCTCATCACACCCTCCCACTCTCCCATCTCAATCTACCTCTCAACCTTACTTCACAACCAGGCCTGTTACTTTTCAACTCCTTCCCTCTCATCTCCCATTCAGGTCTTCCCACCCTCCCCACTCAACCACCCATACCCTCAGAATTCCTCAACCTCTCCCCGCCTCGCTTACAGTACCATAACATCATCACCACAAAAGGAACCCATCAATCCTCACTCCCAATTTCCACCACCCAAGTAATCAGTTCCACTGGACAGTGTATACAAACGATCACCTACCCACCTAACAATCCAGCCATATTCAAATTCAAATTCAAATCACACATCTACACCACCTAGTACCTACAGCATTCATACCGCCTATACACTCTACTCCATTCATCCCGTACAGCAACTTCACACTTACCCTATCTTCCCCATTCCCTCATTGCCTTATTCCCCTAGTTCCTCTCTTTCCCACTCCCCACGGTCCTCCCATCTCCCATCTAAAACCCCAGCTTCTCAATCCTCCCGTCAGTCTGGAGTCAAGTTCCCAATTACCATTCACCATTCACCATTCAAACTCCACAACAATAATCTATCACATCATATTCCAAGTCCCACACCAACTCACCAACCAAATAACCAAGTCACTAATCATCCGAGCTTTGAAGTTTAAACGCTGTTCAAACGCTCAAGCACTGAAAATTCCAGTGCTAAGAAACCACATCATTAGAATTGAGGTATCAATCAATCATCATCAAGTCACTATCTACTGCATACTGTCTGCAGCGCTCCCTCTTCCCTTTCCTAACCTTTCACCTCTTGAAACCAAACATATCCATTCCCATCTCCATGTCCCTGTCCATCCCCAATAAAAGAAAAGAAAAGAAGAATCAAACAACATGCATAAATCTCCAAAATCGTACACTCAAATCATTGTATTTTATCTATCTCAAATTTCTAACCTTCCATTCCATTCCATCCATACCATATCTCCACATAGAACAACCATTCCTCCACTCCTCCTTATATACATCCAAATCAACCACTTTTCTCTTTCTCAATGATCATATATCCACCCCCGATAATTCATACAGACCTATTTTCCACTTCTCTTTATTTATCCAACCGACCATTCGTCTGCTCGACTATTCAGCTACTCTTTTACCTCCATTCGACACCACATCTTCCTTCTCAGACGATCTCATCTTCACGTCCACATATCCATTTTCCACAATTTTTCCATTCACCTCCACACCAGTAGGTGTAGGCGAATTCTCGCCCTCATCCTCAAACCCATTCAACCTTCTCCCCCTAAAATTCTCTGCCTCGCCATCAATCTCTCCCTCTCCACGAACCTCTCCCGATTCCCTCCTACATCTCTCACACATACACCAGCCACCCAAACTTCCCTCTGCCCACTCTCTCCTCTCTTGAACCGGTAGTTCAATATCACAATAATGATTCCAAATCTCTTCTCCCTTCTTCACACCACCTTTCCCATTGATCCTCTTCTCCCTACACCACAATTTCATTCTTCCTCCCCATTCCCATTGTACATTTGGATCACAATCATGATTTGCCAAACACCAAAGAGGATGAACAGCCGCCACTTCCGGCATTCCCGTCGTCGTATTAACTCTCGCCGATGCTGTACCCCTAAATTTACTATACAAGGTATTTAAAATCCAAAGATCGTAATTTGCGATTTCGGCAAAAATATCAATATCCATTTTCTCAAGGATATGAAGAGGAGTAGCGATATTTGACGAGAAAGAAAATGGAAGAGTCCAAACAGGAGGTGGTTCCGATTTAGGAGAGATTGGAACCGCATTACTAGCCGAATCGAGAAAATCTCCCCAGATATATTTAACTTCTTTCAAATCGAGAGGATGAACTTCTTGAGTTGCCGACATAGCTAATGCGCGAGCTAAAAGTAGAAGATAGAGGGCATTTGGTGATTCTTTCGGATCCGGATCTTTAGAGATGGTATCGACATCTTTTTCGCAGATAGCTGGATGATATGTCTCCAAAGCAAGATTGAGACAAGTTTCATTACAAAACATAATATCATAACAATCAGGACATCCTACTACTGTACTATTTTGACCCAATGGAGGTAATACAGTACTGCAGGCATCGCAAAGAGCATCCTTTAAACGATTATTGACTGTCAAAACGGAAGTTTCTTCGAGGACGGTTTCGCCGGGTTGTATATCATCTGTTGCGAATAATCCCAATTGTTTGTTTGTTGGTATATTTCCATCTTCCTCTTGAGAAATCGCAGCTTCCACCAGTGTAGGCAATTCAACAGCTCTAACCTCCACCTTTGAAGAAATAGCTTGTAATTCCTGATTCAAAAAGTCGAGAGATTCTTCCGAGAAACGATTGGGTTCGTGGTCATTCCAAGGATAGATTTCGCGTCGTACTAAGCCCTGATCTGGTAATTCGGAAATATCCACCTCGTCGGTCTTTAACCTCCTCTTCGCCATGTTGAAAATATAATCCTTCACTTGACTTAATTCCTCATCATCAGGAGCGACTTTCAATCCTCTGCTACAAAAATCATAAGCACTCTTTAAGCATCCGCACAGCAGAAGACTCAATGAGAGATTTTGATAACATCGTAATGCAGCCTTATCTGCGATTCGCATATACACATCTTCATCCACCTCCTCCAAATTCCACCTCTCAATTCCACTTCTCTCAATGGTATCTGTGACATTTCCCGTATCTGCCAATCCAGGAACATGTCTCTTTAAAAGATTTTCCGAAAAACCTTCTGCGAGTCGAGATTTAAATGCTTCGAGTGCTTGTTCATGATATTCGAAACTTTCGTCCTTCAATTCATCGCATAACAATAAAGCCTTGTAACTATCTCCCGATGCCAAATCTGGATATCCTAAATCGCTGTAGACGCTCGCTCGTTCGAGATAGGTTAATAAATCGTAAGGGTTCTCCTCCAATCGTTCAGTTAACTCATGTCGTCTCCCCACAAAGATGGAGGTATCATCCTCCAAGTCGCTGTCTCCATCCATGGTGCAATGGAATTGGGCATGATCCTTAGAATGAAAGAAGTATGAGAGTGGTTTATCCAAGTTAAAAGGTTGCACGAGTCGTCTTTTTTTGGAACTATATTGTGGTGCGGAAGAAGTCATGGTGGGGGGATTCATTCTTGAGAAGATTTGATTTTTGTCAAGGATTTCACACACCCCGTCTCGCCAGTCATCCATCCGCCCTGCAGGACCCCTACTCTCGCCTTCCACCTTAGCCCTGCAGCCTCTCCCAAACCAGCCCAATTACCGAAACAAGGGAAATTTGCACCTGCGACGCCGGAGGATATGCTCCGGCTAGTTGATTATCGAATAGAAACATTCTATTGAACCGGGACGTTTTAGAATTTTTTGTATTTTTCTTGTATTTTTGTAAGATCTTATGTATGTGGACATGTCCCAAGCCCCGGTGCTGGTGCATGTAGGGTCTTGATGCTTTGTGGACTGAGATTTAGATGCAAGATTACCTAGACCTGGAAGTTTCCCTCCCCTCCCCTGTCACCTTTCACATTCAGTTCGATATGTATCGACCAGTTCCAAGGTTATCCGTATACGTCTACCAGAGCGAAGCGAGAGAGGCGTTCACAGTGACAGTGGTGGCGTTGTTCATTCCATTATCCCTCTAATTCTCTCTCCAAGGTCAACCAATACAATATAATAAACAGCAAATAATTGGATTCCCCAAAGATAATCATATTCACCATTCAACTCGTATAACCGTATTCCACCGGACTCTACAATATCCCCTCCATGTGAAGAAGCCTCTAGGCCTCCTTCTTCGCCACGCTTGATTGTAAGCAATGTATGCATGTAGGGTCTTCATACAGATTATTTGTATCAAGATATGGATACCTTCTCGTACCTACTTAGTACACCCAGAGAGTCCCCTCTTTCTCACCTCCCTCTCCCCTTGCAAATATAGTTCTAACTTCCTTCGTTCCAATACACCTCTCATCTCTTCATATAAGAAAACACAGCCCAGTAGCGAGAACCCTTAACAATCTAGGTAATTATTCCATTTCGATGCAAGTAACCAAAAATAGTATCATAACTAAAAACAATCCAAGAGTTATCTAGCACTATAAGTATCAACTCTTATAGTTGGATTTGTGATTGATTTATTATAGAATTTATCGGGATAATTAATATTAATCTCCGTTTCCCTCTACCGGTTTATAAAAATATAAATCGACTACCCTACTTTCAAACCACTCTTATTTTGAGCTACCCTTTTATATCAAAAATCGCTTTTTTGGCCTATTAATATCTCTATCAATATATAATCTAATTTAATAAAAACTTGAATATATATAATTTAAGCTATTTTAGATTTATTCTGAAATTTTTAGATTTTTAGGATTTTTCTGTATTAAAATCTAAAGCTTTAAAATATCGATTTTTTAATTTATATAGGAATTATATATAAATTTAAAACTTTTATAAAATCTTTAATAACTTTTTAATAATAATTATTAAAAAAAACTATATATCTTTTTGAAAGTTTTAAATTTAAGTTTATATAGAAATTCAAAAAAAAATTCAAAAAAATTAATAGATATAGAGATATAGTATATAATAAGTTTAAAATAGTATAAATAATCCCTATAATTTTGAGGGTATTCTTTTAAATATCTATTTATAGGAAATTTTCTTTTTTTTCTAAATCCTTCAAAATAAATATTTTAAAAACTTATAATAAAACTTTTTAGTTTATTTTTAATAATTTTTATTAAAAAGTTATTAAAGATTTTATAAAAGTTTTAAATTTATATATAATTTTTATACAAATTAAAAAATCGATATTTTAAAGCTTTAAATTTCAATATAGAAAAATCCTAAAAATCTAAAAACTTCATATTAGATTCAAAACGATCTGAATTATATATAAATAAATTTTCAATAAATTCTATCTATAAATAAGAAAATTAAAAATTCCATTTTTGGTGTAAAAAGTGGCTCAAAAGGGGGGTGGCTCGAAAGTAGGGTACCCGACTTATCTCTCTTAAAATCCGAGTGAAGCGACAACGGCCTCCACGGCAGTGGCCTAGCGGAGCGTCATTCTCTCGACAAATACATATATTAATAACCTTAAACACTCCCTCAAAATTCCTTCTATACTAAATCCCTCCATACATACTATCTATGGGGGCAAGCCCCCAAACCCCCGTCCTCGCCGCGCTCGATTACAATCTACTCTGTACTCAGTACTCTATATACTTTCGAATTCCGAATTTATAATGTATAAGCGTATATATAAATCCCTATATAAGCCAGTATAATAAGCCGATATAAGCGTGTAAGAGTTATCGAACTTACTTACTACACTCTATAAATTTTATAATAAAATCCCTATAAAAATAATGTTTTTCTATACAAATTAAAAAAGTTGATAACTTTTTTAATTTAAGAAATTTTATTTTCAAGACTTTAAATAAGTAATTGATATTATTCTTTATTGAAAAAATATTTTTTTTATTTTTAATTATTTTTGTTTACAATTTTTATAGACTTGAAATTGAAAAGATTGAAATTTTTTAATTTATAATGTTTTTTCTATATAAAATAAGCGATTTTTTAGAAAATTCATAATTTTTATCTTCAATAGCTTTTATTGTATATAATTAAATTAATTTTAAATCGATCTTAAATTCTTTTATTCATTTTATATAAAGTTTTAATAAAGAAACAGGGGTTTTAAAAGCTGAAAAATCAATGGTTTTAGTAGGAAAATCGAAATCTATATAATGAGGAGGTTCTAGAACTTTTATATAGGTAAGTATTAATATATATATACTATAAGAGAGTAGAAGATAATAGAGTCGTAGAGTAAGTCTTTATAAATATTATAGAATTATTACTATGAAAGTAGTACTATTAATAAAGGAAAAGGAAAAAGACTCTAGAAAGTTTTCATATAATATATAAGGAATATAATAAAATAAAATAGATAAAAACTAATTATCGTTTTCTAAACTATATAAAAAGAACTATAAATACTAGTTACAGATAATATTATATAATCTATACGTATTTTTCCGCGCAAAATATATACCCTAGCTCGCAGGTGACAGGAAAATTAGTATATAAAAATTTATTAGAGAAATCTTTAGCTTTTACGAATTTAATAAGAAATCAGCTAATTAATATATTTTAGAAAAAGTATATTTATCTACTGAACCATTAATCAAATAATAGTAAATCATCTTGAAAAAGAATTAAATCTTCAATAACAATGGGATTAAAATATATTAAAGTTTATAAAAAAATTATAAAAAGATTAATAACTTTGAAAAATTATAAAATAATTAAAATTCGATTTTATGATTTCTATTGGTTCAAGTTTAGGTTCGAGAAGAATATAGAAAACGTAGTACCTATAGTATTCATAAATCCTAAATGTCTATATTATATTCTGTTTAAAAAGCTAGTTAAATATAGAAAGTTATAGGCCTTATATAAATACTACAAGAAAAACTAGTTTTTTCTGTTTATTACTTAGGGCTATTATATTCCGTATTCGCTTATAATTAACATATAGTAGCTAATGAATTAAAGCTATTTACTAGATTCTAATAATCAATGTTCATATAATTTCAAATGTAAATATATTATATCAAACTATTGAAATATTTAATCAAAGAAAACTTCATATTATTAGTATTTAAAATTGAGTTTATAAAGATTTATTATTCAGAATATTAAATTATAGTTAAATTATATTTAAACTCGAAATAAACCTAGTTTTCAATAATGAATAACTTTCCATGAATTCAATCGATAAAATCGAAAACTATACTAACAGAAAGCTCTATTTTAAACTATTTATAACGATTATCTGAGAATTTAATAGTGACATATAATTGAGATAGCTAGGGGCTAAATGTATAGTCTAACATCCTATCAAAATTTAGGTGGGGAAATGAACTTGTGTATGTCATTTTTTCCGTTACCCGCGAGCCTAGGTAGCAAATCCATATACATGTATGTTATGTATTTACCAATGTATGTATTTACTAATCTATATACCTATGTATGTATTTACCAATCTATTTACCAATGCATATATATATATAGAATCCTCCACAAGACAAAACAGGGCGGAACAAGACAAGGCGAGACCAGACCCCTTCCCCTTGCCCTTCCCATCACCACCTTTTCCCCATCTACACTTTCATACCATACCACCAAGCCACCACATATTATCAAACTCATTCGATAGATACAACCCTACAAAATGCGGACATCCATTCATATTCAATCGATCAATATCACCCATACACACCCATACAGAAACATGGTCGTCATCGAATCGCTCGGCATTGATTCCACAGTACTAGGTATGTATTTCTATCGGTAAAGAGAGGGGAAGGGAGAGGGGCCAGATTTTACCACAAAGTCACACGTGTTTTCTTGACTATTCGCTTCATCCGAACCCCTCTCCTTAACCCGACTTTCTTCTCTTCCAATCATTCAATTATCCATCTGCCTTATTTTCATGGGTTCTATTGATCTTCTAAACTCTATGTACCCCGTAAGGGACTGATCATACCGTTGCCGTTACTTCCATGTTGTCATATTGCATATTGCATATAATTTACCCCTCCATCACTCCATCACTCCACAAATGTTCCCTCACTCAACCCCTCAAATCACTCAATTTATCAACATAGTACGCAGGTACTACAGGAGCATTTTCAGCCTCCCATTCTTCTTTCTTAGATACTCCCGTTAAAACGGCCAATGTACCACCAAGTTTTCCTTCAATACCAAATTTAATATCTGTATTTAATCGATCTCCAACCATACATGTCTTCTTACGATCAAATCGAAATTTCCCCTCAATAGAATCCATCATTGCTTGATTCGGCTTACCTAAAGCGGTTGGTTCTTTTCCTATCATATTGATTAATGGAATTGAAATGGATCCAGCTCCAGGGAAGAATGTATGGTTTGATGGTAAAGTACTATCAGTATTTGTAGCCAAGAATACTGCACCTCGACGAAGATAATGGTAAGCATGACATAACTTGAGATAATTGATGTGAAAATCCAAGCCAGCCAAAACTACACCAACATCATCGTCAAGTAATGAACCATCTGCAATTCTTTTATAATCTTCTGGTGTAATGTCGCGACGATACGCTGGATCTGTTCCTCCAATGAATTCTACTCCTTCGGTTTTCAATTCTGTTTCGATACCACTTTCACCCAAAACAAAGACTTTATTCTTGGGTGCTGGAAGTTTGAGAATTCGAGAGATATAAATTGCGGAAGAGTAGGCTGAACCAAAGATTTCATCAACATTGCTTGGTATACCGAGAGTGGTAAGCTTCTTTTGATATTCGACTCTCGATTTTGTGGAATTGTTTGTTACAAAGACAACCTTCTTGCCTAGAGGAATGTATGGTTAGCTCTTGTTTCAAAGGGGCAGATACGGTGCGTATTGTTGAGAGCGGGATTAGACGTCATTTGGGGAGCGCACCTTTTGATCTCAACAATTCCAAAGTCTCGACTGTCCCTGGAAAGATATGATCTCCAGACCAAAGAACACCTTTCGCATATTAGCATATCTTTCTTCCCGAGAACTGATTATCGTATGGTTATATACCATCACAATCAAATAAGAAGACCTGAAGCGTGAAGAAAGTCAGCTTAATCCACCCTACAAATTCAAGCTTTAAAGCTTGTGTAGGACTGACTCAACGCACATCAAATTGATCAATAAATTCATTGATGGCAGATGAATCGCCAGTGAGATATTTTGGTGAAGTCATAAGTCAAATAGGTAAACGGGGTATCTGGGTACAAGACAAAATCCCACTCGAGGCGCAAAAACAATGTCGGATGCAATAATCCTTTCCTGACTCAAAAGGCACAAAGTACAAAGTACAAATAATCGGAACTTGAGCGGAGGTATCGATCGGAGGTACCGATCGGACCTGATCCGAAGATTCAGTTTACCCCACCAAGAACACGTGAGATCCTCTGAGCTATCAATTGGTGATACCTGATAGGTCAGGTATGACGAAAGGCCAAGATAGCGGGTAGGGGAAATTGATATTGGATAGATTGGGATAGCTTCGTAAGGCGAACGGATCACAGCGGGAACACTATAAGGAATTATGATAAGGGAAAATCCGAAGAAATGGTAGCATGGGAGAGAGAGAGAGAGAATGCTTCGTATGGTTCAATCGGAATCCACGGTATGACAATAAACTTTTCATATACCTTGATTTCCTGCATTGATTCAGGGAAAGAGAAATATATATTGAAGATCTTCCCCTTTTTACGCGGGAAAGCCGGATGACTGTGTTTTGTGTTCCTCTGTACTCTGGATGACTGATCAGTGAGCCAGTCAGTCTAGCCAGTCCCAGTGACGACAAGAAGTGCAGTCCAAGTTCACCCCACCAAGGAAAGAATTTGGAAAAACTAATGGATAATGGATAATGAAAGGGGTAGACCCGCGTGAGAGAATTCTTCGACGATGAACAATCAAAGGACTTTGGAAGTTCTAGAACAAAAGATAGAATGTTGATCAATTACCCAAGTAGAGTGGTATCGATTCCGGGTGGAGTGAAGCCGGTGGATTGAAGCCGACAAGAACTACCGCGTGACCGAAGATTCAAATTGATTACTCGAAACAATCTGTTTCAATTTGACGACTCAAGAGTCGAGACCCTCAACGTATAGATATAGATTCGAGTCAAGGAATGGACAGACTTGAGAGAGTGGACCTGAGACGACATGTACCGCGCCCTCAATCAACAAATTTCTGTGAAACCATGGCCTACGAGGTATTAATCAGTACTACTCCTTCATCTAACAACCGCAGCTTCACGGCACAGAATACTCTATTGAGAAAGAATATTTCTACATTCAGAGCCATGCAGGTTGAAGGGATATATGTGTATCACAGATTTCCAAGCGGTAGAGAATGTTTGGGGAATGCTCATGTTACTACAGTGTATCTCCTCCCGTATGTGTTGGATGCCTTCTTTTGCCTTGGATGGATATGGATAGGAGTGCGTACAGCGTACCTGTGTGTGTGAGAGTACTTGGCTGAAAATATTAGACGGGTAGGGAGGAAGGTAGGAAGGGAGGGAGGGAGGGAGGGAGGGAGGGAGGTAGGTAGGTATAATAGATCAGGATTCCCCTTGAAAAATAATATTCTTGGACCCCAAATCCTTTCAATCGCCTCCTTCACTTCAAACACATATGCTGACCAAGATTGGATCTCGAATTCTTCATCAATACTTCCTCACTTACAAAGTACCCTTTTCACTTCCATCTTCACTCCCGCTTACCAATCCATTATATAAGCAAACTCTCTTATCTATCATCGTTATCCATTAGTTAATTATCCATCGAATCGAAAACATCGTCATCTTGCGGGGCTCGAAGGTTAAACACATGAAAAGTAATTAATTTCCGACAAACCTTTGGGAGATCAACATCACTCACTCATCATCTTCATTTTTAGGCGTCATATCCTCAGATATATATATATATATTTAATATATTGGCCTAACTTATATGTTCATATACATATAACTTATAACTATACATAGTGATATATACATGAAAAGATCAAAACCCCGTTGGTCAACCTTTCATACCAAGCACGCACTAACCAAAAGACCATAAAAGGTACGATGATAATCATAAAATCCGTTTCCAGATAATTTATATATATTTTGATAACAAACCCTTTGTTTCCATAACTAATAACTATAACTTATATATAAGTTACCTATATCTATATATTCGCCCCCACCATCATCACCTTCCTTCCATTATCGTCATCATCTAATCAATCCACCGCTTTCAGATAGAAGACGAAGGAAGAAAAAAAATCCACTTATCGCAACCAAACCCATCAAAACCCAAACCCCCACCATCAAAAACTCTCTCTCGACTTCGTTCGCATCAATCACCCACAAATTTCCAACCTCTCAATTTCCATTTCCAGATTTCGGATTCTCTTCACACAAAGTCTCCGCGAAACCTTCTCAATCATATCAATATCCACCACCAATTCATCAAATCCTCTCACCCTTACCTACCAGGTAGTCTCACCCACCCACACCCACACATAATCGAAAACATCGCAAAAATGGTTGGCTCACAACCCAATCTCTTCGCATTCCCCAACGTCGACATCCTAGCCACCACTCTCCGTCAATACATCGTGCAAGCCCAAGCTGCCGGACTCGCCCGTCACGACGCCTTCAAGATCGCCGTCTCAGGTGGTTCCCTCCCTAAAACCCTCGCTGCCGCTCTCCTCGCCCCATCCAGCGGTCCCGACGACATCATCCACTTCTCAAAATGGGAAATCTTTTTCGCAGATGAGAGAGCCGTACCCCTCACCCACGAAGACTCCAATTACGCGCTCCTCAAAAGTGAACTCCTCGATAAAATTCCCGCAGAAATGGGAAAACCCACCGTCCACCCAATCGATACCGCGCATCTCGATGATGTCCAGGAATTGGCAGATCAGTATGAACAACTCCTCGTGCGCAGTTTTGCATCCCGCGATTCAGTCAAATTGCCCATTTTTGACTTGTTGCTCTTGGGTTGTGGTCCCGATGGTCATACGTGTAGTTTGTTTCCCGGACATGCTCTCTTGAGGGAAACGGATGCTTGGGTTGCGCCAATTGAGGATAGTCCGAAACCACCACCAAAGAGAATTACACTTACTTTGCCAGTGGTGACACATGGAGTTAAGATAGCTTTTGTAGCGACAGGTGGTGGAAAGAAGGAAATTATGAAGGAGATTTTTGAAAAGGGAAATGGATTACCTTGTGCATTGGTGAATGAGGGAGCTAGAGAGAGGTGCAGTTGGTTTGTGGATAATGCGGCGGTGGAAGGTGTTAGTTTCCCTAGGAAAGGCAGTCTTTAAATTTCCTCTTGGTTGAAGGTGGGAAAACATTCGGAGTTTAGCTAGATACTTTTCAAATACCAAAAGAGTTTATTACAGTATATGATTGTGTGAATGAAGGGTGGATGGTTGGCTGGCTTGCTTGTGTCTTTGGATTTGGAGTTTGAGAAGAACATTGAGATGATTGGAATGGATGATTAGATGGATAGATGGGTGAATGGTGTTCTAGAATGAAAGCCAAGGATTTCTTGCTTCCTTTCTGCATGCTCTCCTGCTCTCTTTTCCTTTTCCTCTTCCTTTCCTTTTATGATTAGAGAACTCCAGTCTTGTATCATCTCCCATCTCATATCTAATTAGTGCCTAGTGTTTAGTGTTTAGTGTTTAGTGTTTAGTATCTAGTATCTAGTATCTAGTATCTAGTATTCTTCCCTCCTTTCTTCTTTCCTAATATAATTGAAGAAATTAATCATATCTCATATCATCTCTCATCTTTTATCTAATTAATGTTTAGTATTTAGTATTTAGTATTTAGTGTCTAACATCTATTCGATTAATGTTTAATATTTAAGTTAAACCCCTTATTTTCTAATTTCTTCTTTTTTAAGCCACTTATTTATATCAAAAATCGCTTTTTCAGCTCATTGATATCTCCTTCAAGATATAATATAATCTATTGAAAATTTTATTTATATAAATTTCAAATCTTTTTAAACTCATTCTGAGAATTTCAGATTTTTAGGATTTTTTTAAATGAAAATCTGAAGCTTTAAAATATTAATTTTTAATTTATATAGGAATTACATAGTCTGATTAGCTGTTACGGGAGCTGCCTCTAGGGTCACGTGGAAGTATCTAGAGTTCTCTCGAGGTGGTTTAGACTAGACTTCAAGTAGGAATTCAATAAGGTTGGTAACTGGTTGCAATTCTCGTAACTATAGTAATGAAACTAATGATTGTTCTTGAGCACGAAGCTCTACATTATAATGAAACTCATTCCCTTATATAGATCTTCGTACCTCATGAATCGACAAGTCGATTACCGTAAAGCCGATTTCGACAAGTCGGTTTCCTGATCACGTGATGTCCATCCCGTGACTGGTAATGATGCCACCGCTTATCTAACCTGTGCTCTCTAGCCGACCTGTGACTGCTGCTTACCCTGTGCCCACTGTAGGGTAGGTAACAACAAAAGATAGGTACCTATCTTTTAATCACTGATTACTTATCTGGTTACCGCTATCTTTCGTTACCCTTCAATTCAACTGTCCCTACAGTGCTGTTTTCGTAGGTTCCAACACCAAGGCCTTAGGTTTATCTTATAATCCATGTTGCGGTGCGGGTACCTCCGTAACATTAGCACTTTTTGAAACCTATTTTCAATTTCTAATAACTTTTTAATTATAATTGATGAAAAGAAACTCATTTTTTAGAAGGTTTTGAGCTTGAATTTATATAGAAATTAAATAAAATTAATAGTTGTAGAGATCTAACTTGAATAAAGAAAAATAATCTCTATGATTTCGAAAATACTCCTATAAATACTTATTTATTAAAGTTTTTCTAGTTTTTCTGAATTTTCTAAATTAAATAGTATAAGTTTATAATAAAATTTAGAGTTTATTTTTAGTAACTTTTATTGAAAAGTTGTTTAAGATTTTTTTGAAAAAAAGTAAAATTTGTATATAATTCTTACACAAATTATTAAATCGATATTTTAAAGCTTCGAATCTTTATTCAGAAAAATCCTCAAAATCTGAAATTTTCAGAATAAGTTTAAAATGATCTGATTCATATATATATATATTCTTAATAAATTCTATACATAAATAAAAAAGGTCTTTTTGTTAATTTTGATAGTGAAAGGTGGCCCGATAGAGGGGTAGTCAGAAAATAAGGAGTTCAACTTAGTATCTAGCATCTAGATATATATAGGTATAGATCTCGAATAAAAACTCATTGAATTTCTTACCTTTATATCCTGGTGTCCTTGTGTCTTTGCCCGTTCTTGTGTCCTTGCATCTTGACGTCCTTGTATTCTTGCATTTGTACTACATTGAGTCCTTGTGTGCTTGTGCTTGCATTTTTACGTCCTGGTTATGTTGCGGTGTTGCGGTATCGTCATTATCGTTGAGTCATTGTCATTGAGTTATAGTCATTGGCATTGCTAGATTGTGTCGTTGATAGTTGGAGAGTTGGAGAGTTGGAGGGTGATTTTTCTTATGGGTTTTGTGAGGGGTCTGAAATGCAGAGGTGAGGTTTGCGAGGGGTGTGAGGTGAGATGGAACAGGGGAAAGAGTAAGGGAGAGAGCAGAGAGGAGAGAGAAGAGAGAAGAGGGAAGAGGGAATAGAGGAGAAAGAGGGGAGGTGTAAGGGTGAGGGGTGTGGAGGTGAGGTGAGTAGGAGAGGGAGGGGAGGGGAAAGAGCAGAGGCAAGGTGAATAGAGTGAGTACAAAGCCAGGGTGAGCCGGAGTAGGATTGAAGAGTAGAAAATAGAGGGAAGAGAATAGAGTGCAAAGGGAGCGGTAAAATCACTCTATTCATTTATTTATTTTCTCATCATCATCATCATCCTTCATTTTTTGAGAACTCATGCATTATGTGTATACAGAACCCAGAGCGAGTGTAGAGTATAGAGGATGGAAGACTGAGTGTAGAAAATGGAAAATGCAGGAAAATATGTGTAATCACATCATCACATCACGTATCACTTCTGGATTTTTTGTTTCGTCTTTTAATTTTTGTTCATCTGTTTTCTTTCATTACTTCTGGGGGATTCTTTGAGGTTGATGGATTCTTGGCTTTCCCGACTTTTTCTTGCTGTTGATTTCTTGAATCTTGGATTGATGGGTTCTTGGATTCTTGACTTTTAGAGGTTTTAGATTTCTTTGCTGTTGATTCTTGACTCTTTTGCTGTTGAATCTTGGACTTCTTGAACCCCTTGTGTCCTTGGCTTATTTGGTTTTCTTGACTTCTCCGACTTTTTGGTTATTAACTTCTTGAATATTAATTTCCTTGCTGTTGATTTCGAAACCTTGAGATCGGAGCTTGGAGTTTTTCTATTTATGGTCTAGACCTAGAGTTCTTGGCGCCGCTGCCGGTTCTTGGCGTTAGCGCTGATGTCGGTTCTGGTGCTAGTGCTTGTGCTGGTATTGATTCTGACTCTGATTCTGGTGCGGAGGGCTTTGAAGTTTGTCAATTATTCTACAGCTTACTGTTTTCGCACGAGAAAGTGAAAGGCTAATATCCAAATGGGTTTTGGTCCTGAATGGGGATAGGGATGGAAAGAATTCGTGGTCTCGTATAGTGTGGTGGAATGGACTGGGAATTGGGAGTCATACTCGAGATTGAAGTTGAATTTGATATACCCACATTTGTTTACAGGTAAGATTTATATCATAATTATATGTGGGAAATGTGGAGAGGGTGCCTTGAGCTAGATCTTGGGATACAGGAGGACGTGGTAGATGAGACGAGATTGGGAATCGGGGTATGTATCTCTGTGGATTTTAATAAAGTTTGGTGAAGTTTTGGTAATGGGAGATTGTAATTTTTCCAGAGTGGAATGGATCAGGTCGACTTGTAGACCTGTACCTTTTCAATCATCGAGTAAGGTGAGATCTTTTATTGGAGATAACGAGCGGGTGTCGGATCATTATTATTTTGGATCTGCTATTTGAGTTGATGCCTGGAAATAGTTTCCATGAAGGTTGTCTGCTGAATTTTGAGGGGAAAAGGTGTAGTGACTGGTGATGGGGTATGCGTCGTATGGGTGAGGCAAGGTGAAAAGTAGCTAATATAACCTAAGTAGCCTCAGGTGAAGCAAGCCTTGCGTGAATTTATCAAGTGATATTCTTCTACTTACATCGTTTCGCAATTTCTTTTTGATCCTTTGTGGGTTTGTTGCGGTCCTGGAGTCTGGAACTCTTGGGATGAGGATTAGTCTCCACCATAGCTTTCATTTCTCCATGCGTTCACTGAGATTCACCTTTATTCCACTAGCCGATTGATATCAAGAGTCGCTGGAAAATTTGCTGGCATTGTAAGATCGTAGCCCGAGAAGTTTGATGCTATGGTGCTCAAGAAGCTAGTGTAATTTTTCCTGTTAAAGATTCTTTGAAAACGGCAGAGGTCGTTGAGAGAAGAGGGCTCAATCGGGGATGTATCAATGAAGTCCAGAGTGCAGCCCTACACTCTGTGTTTCTTATGTTTGCACTCAGCGCAGTATTTATGATGAGTTCTGTGCCTCGAGGCATCTCGATATTTCTGTCTGATCTGGAAATTGAAGCCCTACAAGGTGGGCTGCAGTCCAGTCTCTTTGGTACTTTGAGATAGATCATCAAATGTTGCATTATTGGCACCTTTTCTCCCTTGGTACACGGTAGGATTAAGAATAAAAATTGCATTAAATCGTCTTTTCAATATTCACATACCTCCTCGATTCAATTTATCGCCGATAACTTACCTCTAGTGTAATTGTACACGTTGTTTGGAAGCCCTTGGAGGTGTAAGCACAAATGAAAAGCCCACAGTCATCACTTCAGCACCAAAGAATTTAAAAATCATACAATTATATGATACCATCAAACATCCAGATCCACATGTTGCCACTCAACCAAGTAAAATGGTACCTGGTGCACAACACACACCCCTCATAACTCCCCCCACCCTGCAAATAGACCGACGCAATGATTCTCTCACAGACTCTAAAACACTGTAGGATATATTAGAGGCTTAATCAACTATACAGGTTGTATATTGACTGCATTTAGTTGTGAGTTCTCTGACCAGTGGATCGTTAGCTCTTTTCCTTGTCCTTCGGACAGAAGCCTATCCTCGGAGACCTTTCTTCGCAGGCAAATGACTCGGAGGTCGCTGTGGAGAGGAGGTGAACTCGTATCTCGAGATATTGGAATTATGCGAGCGTGAGCTACTTGGAAGTCAAATTAGTTTGATGAACCGAACCGGTGGTTCTAGGGATTAGTTGGAAGGAGAAGTAGCACTTGTGAACTCCCTTTCACTCTATACCACTTCAGTTCTCCTCTTTGCCCCTCTTCTGTCTCAAGCTCTGGAAGTTAGAGCTCGTTGCACTATTTTGTAAACTTTCCAATTTTTTGATACGACGGCGCCTTGATATGCATGTTCAAAGGGAGTCACTTGCCTACCTTTCGTGCTAAGGGAACGAAGGGGAAGAGTACCTCAGAAAAGAAGTAAAGCATGAGAGGAGTGAAGAAAAGGGTACATAATTGTAAAAGAAGGAACATATGTTGAAAGAGATAATGGTGAGAAATATATATAAAGAGTTTGTGTACAGAGAATTCGGCGAGGCAGGGTGGGAGGCTTTAAGCAAGGAGCTTTTTGGGGTTAAAATTCAATTTGAACATATAGAACATCGATCATGAATAAGATACTTTGCTTCCTGAAGACAGAAGTGATGAAAGAATATGGAAGAAGAAGAAGTTATGAGATTAGCACGACAGAGGGAAAGGGTCTATGTCATTGATTATGCTTGTTTTTTTAAAGTCATTACATGTCCAAATAAGTCCTCCGTATTGTGCTTAAATCCCCCAATAGTATCTGCCCTTGATTCATATCTGCCGTAATCTCTTCATGTACATTTTCTTCATCCTTAACTTGAAGGATAAGAGAAGAATCTTGCACAACATCACCGTCAACATCATCCATATACCACTTCCATAATACACGCTCCCGCGCAATATATCGCTTTCTTCACCCTGACGCCCTTGTTTTCTCCATGACTTCCCGATACCGACGTGTCACCCAGCTACATCGGTCTAGCAAGAAAGTCCTGATATCTCTGCTCATCCTCCCCATGAACAAACATCTCCAAGCAACTTTTCAAAGAAGCCTTGTTCGACGTATACTGCCAAATCCTCTCACGATAATCCCACAACCAAAAAACCACAAACTCTCTCGCTCTCACCAAGTTCTTCCTTCCGACCCTTGGATACTTCTCAAACAAATCCCAATCCCTCGGCTCAGGCCAGATGCGAAACTCGACGTTGCCATCGAAGTGACTCCTAAAGAACACATTGAGCGCAACTCCAATCTCCTGCGATTGCGAGGTCCACATCTGGCGACAAATCCAGTCGCTGGGAGAAAATGTTGTATAGAGATGTGTTTTGTCGTCGGGTAGCATGGGTAGAAGTTTATTGCGACGGTAGTTTTCGGCTTCGCGGAGACGGTGCGTTGCGGCGAGAGCGGCGGTCTTCTTGTTGGTCTCGATTGCTTTGTCCCATGCTTCTAAGCTGATCTTTTGCTTGTTGGCTTTTGCTGCGACGATATCGGAGCGGGTGAGGCTGGGAGCGTGTGTAGTAGGTTGTCGAGATTTAGTTGAAGCGTCGTGATAAGCGGACTCTGTTTTGTTTTCTGCAGCCTTATTAAAATCCTCGTTGGGTTTGGAGATTACACTGTGTGAGCATGCTCGCTTTGTTGGACCTTGCTGTATGCTTGATTTTGTGTCTTTGGTTTCAGAAGTGGTAGCATGACCATAAGAAGAAGAAGCTTCAGGGTCTTCTGCGTCTGGAGATGCTTTTCTCTTATTTGAGGACATTCTCGATGAGGATGGATCGATGTTTGTAAAGTGTTGTGTTTGATTACGAAGCGTCGAGAGTTGATGTAGAAGTGTTGAGGAGAAGTTCTCAATTGCATTCAGGGCATTTGGCGATTTGTGGCTCATTTTAGTGAATATTACTGATTCTGAAGACAGCTATTAATATGTCGTCTGATTTATCATATTCTTTAATCATAGCTAAGACTATTTCCGAAATACTATTCACATGTTCACATTGAATATTGTTCATCTGACCTAATAAGGGACTACATGTTGTGGGTCCCAACATCTCCTTTGTATTCGTTCCTCGATGCTTGAATGTTTACTGTTCTTTATTCATTCTTCCTCAATGAGCCTTCATTAATTCCCGATACTGCAAATTTTCTCTCAACAAAATTGCTAGCTATACCTACACGTGATACCTATCAGCCGCGCCCAGAGAGATGCCATGCAACCCATTCCTAATGTCCAACATCTTCTTGCTTCATGTACCTGAAAAGCTTTGGAGTGCGCGGTATTTGAGGTATTGGTTGTAGTAAGAGCCGTCATTTGGGTTTTTGAACCACTCAAGACATTTCAGTAAAGGCCATTCGGTCCCAGGACTACAGTCCTTTCCTTTATAGTACCAAAGCCAAAATTGTACGAAATCATGGGCTCTAGCAAGCGTGGTTTTCCCTTTTTCGGAGTCGGCTGTCATATCCTTCCCTTTTGCTAGTTCTGGCCAGAATCGAAATTCCACGTTTCTCTGAAGCTGAATCTCGAAATGCACATTTATCAATTCCTCTGCCTCGCTTTTGGAAATTGCTCCGCTATTATCTATCCACTTATGGTGGGATCTATTTTCATGAGGGAGAATAGAGACATATGGATGGACTTTTCTAGATTCACTAGACGAACTTTTCGTAGTCCCATGCGTCATATCGTCCTGGTCCATGACATGATGTCCGACTTCCGTCTCTCCTTGATGTTCTTCCCTGCCCTTGCTCGTCGCTCTCTGGCTTTCTTGAGGAGAAGGTGGCAACGGCAGTTCTGGGAAGCTGTCAAAAAATCGATCAACTGCTTCAGAATCCGTGATTTGGCGATCTGATTTATTAGAAGTGGGCTTTTGAGACTGATTGGAAAGATTATCGTCATCATTAGTAGACTTATTTGAAGAGCTATCTTCAATTCCAGGCCATGCGTCAGAATCTTGGTCCCAATTTTCCTCTGCCTTTTTCTTCGCACTCCCGTTCTCTTGGTCTCTTTGCATAAGAATCCAGTCCCTCTTCCATCTCAAGACCTCATTCTTTGATACAAAATAACCTTTCTGATTGATTGCGTCCCACAATTCGTTCGACTCAGCCTCAAAAACAATACTGGTGTTCATCTTCTTATTCCATTGAACCCAAGCCGCGATGAAATTCTCAAGATCACTGTTCAGCAAGTGAAACCAATCTCCATTTTCTTTCATCTTTTTCGAATGATCTAAGAACACAATATCTTTAAAATATTTCAAATCCACGAACTCATAGTGAGGCGTAAGCTTCCCCCAGATATCGGAAAAGATAAGTTTTAGATGCGCTTGGTCCCCATCGTCGATACGGATATTAGCTTTTTTGCTTCTTGACATGAATTTTTGCCATTGAATATCAAAAGTGCTCCAGATTTCACAGCCCTCGAGGCCCTCGAGGGCTAAATGGGGAGTTCTGTCGCCATATCTAGCTATCAGAACCGTAAGCAAGGCAAATCTTATATACTCCTTGTTTTTCGATAAAGGGGGGGAGACGAATAATCTCACTAAGAGATCTGGCGAAGCCTTTATGAGATTCTATAATAAGTATACTAAATCACTTATTGATATCTTACTAATTAAGACATATATTGATGACTAATACATATAAAATATAATTTGTATTATAAAATTATATTATTAGATTATTATATCTCTTATCAAATTGATTTATAATGAAATAGAATGTGATGGAATCTTATGAAAGATTATTGTTAAATCAGACTAAATTGATTGGTTGTACTTTCTTTTTATGATATAACTAAATGAGTCTATAAGATTCGATTAAAATCAATCTTATTTATAAGCATAGAAACTACTAGAATTTCATTATAAACTATATAAACCTAGGATAATCTTTTAATAAACCCTAGAAAAAGTAATCAAATTCAGCTCAATCAAGCTCTTTCTTATAATTTGACTTCAATTCAACTCTTATACTATACTCGATTGATCCCTAAAGCTAAAATGACTAAGTCTTCCACTAATACTAGAATACTAATATTATTATTGTTATTATTCTAGAGCTAACCTCCAAGAGAAATCATTATTCCAACTATCGTATGTAAATAACAATTTGATTCATACATCATTTAACATAAAAAATTATTCAAAATTATCCAAGATTGTCTTTAATCATGAGATCACTGATAAAGAGTACTTATAGTAGACAAATATAACCGCCAATAACAGGAAGGTCTAGAGTTCTGAGGAAGAAATGAAGCTTCAGGCAATTTTGTCATCGGAGGAGATATATATGGAGTAATAAATACATTTAGTTTGTATAGAATGCGAAAGGACTTTTCTCTTATACTTTTATTTCACTATGGTACAAATAGTTCGCGTGAGGGCTTGATCGTGATGTGAGTATCTGGATCCAGGGATATGTTATCAGAATCGAGTAAGTAGAGTCTTTTAATATCTAGATGAAATTGTACATCAAGATTGAGAATGTATTCAGATTCTTGTAATATTTAAATTCCGGTGTGTCAATGCAGGTTTGATTTCGAAAAATCTGTTTTTGAATACTTGTTTCTCTCCTTTTCTTTAATTCTCCCATCATTTTATAATCTTTTGCTATTCACTGGGAGGAGAGTGATACGATCTACCGTCTCCCCTTTTCCAGAAGCGAAAATACTCGAAGTTCAATCACAAAGCATGTAGCTTTAATCACACCTAGTATGGTAAAAATATACTCCTACTACATAGGGAAAACTTTCGGCAAAAGCCTCCGCATCAAGGTTCCTTTCTCGGCTTTAAAATGTTACAGTATACACCACTACACTGGGTATCTCGAAATCTGAATGGCCCAACTTGGGAGTCTCATGGAAACTCAACATCCCCCTCTTCTATCCTACTTCTTTGAACTGCCCTGATTTATTCATGGAGGGAAGTGAGAAGCACACTACTCCCATTTTCCCTTTTCTAAATACCCCTTCCTCCATCTTAGAAGAACTAGACTAGTATATCTATATCTAAATACTTACCATATATCACATAACCTAATATACTAGCCTAGTACAAAGGAAACTACCTCCCTTTGGACGAAATGGCGTAAAACATCTTTCATCAAAGTCGGCAACATGACTGGCTGTTTTGATTTTCATTTGCTTTTCTTCTGCTATTTTCGATTCTGTCATCTTCCTCTCCATTGCCCCCCCTTTTCCCCCCTTCTGTTATTAAAGAGATGGTGAGAGCATCCTTATCACGTATTCATCTTTCTTAATATCGAAGACCGTAATCTATGAACAATCACTCCGTATAGCATATAAAAACACAAAGCTTTAAAACAGTAACTTTGATGTAGGCTCCAATACATATTTAAGGGGACAACAGAAACATAAACTCTCTTATTTATGAAAGTTATATCTCAACTTGCTTGAAATCTAGTCTAGATGTAGAATGTCTACAGTCTATAGGTATTTTCATACATTTCTTAGCTTGAATAAGATCCAAAGATATATATAGTTCTAATGAATTTCCCGATCAAGATCTAAGGCCTTGCTTTATTACCTACACAAATTAAAATCTCGCGGTACCCCGAACAACCCCCTCTCCCCCCACCATCATTGATTTCACAAAACACTTCGATTTTTTTTCTTATAATAATAGTACCGCTCTCTTCTATGTGAAACATACTAAATATATGTGAATTAAGCACTGTGTTTTATCAAATTTCAAAAAAATTAATCAAAGATAATTCAACCTTTACTCGAGTAGTTTAACCTTGATTTCATGTATAGGGGAGAGTGACGAGGGCTTAAAGATTTTATGTTGCGGAAAAAATCGAAATGTTACAAACATATCTCAAATAATAGGAAATCACAAAACAAACCCTTAATGTATGGAGTGTTTACGGGATGCACAAAAGAAGTTTTGATGGATTAAATTCGTTGCTATATATATTCCTCCAAATCCAAAACCATAACCCCCGCAGAATTTACACCCATAACTCCCCCAAGTCTTTGCCCGTAACTTCTCAAGGCTTCCACCTATAACTCCCCAGGAATGCAAGTGTAAATTTTCTGAATTTGAATTTGCACCTATATCCATCCAAGTTTGTATCGGACTCTCTTTCTATATCAATCTCTTAAATTTTATTAAGAGCGAGACAGATACCTTCCGAAAGTTTACATTCTAGATGTATTGACTGCACGGAAAGTAAAAACCGAACCAAAACTCTTTACTTGAACAAAATCGGCAGGAGCTGATGGTAAACATGCTGTGCAAGTACATGTATCATCATCGATTTCCTTGGATCGATCAAGTCCATCTTCAAGTAACGCCCCTGATAGTACCATACGTCATTATTTGTCTTCTCAAATCCTTTAAAGACCCGTATGGCTTCATCTGAATAGAAGCATGCAAGTAATTCGCTAAGTGCAAAATTAACTCTGGAAAAACTCTCTGGTATCGTGCCTTCTGCAATTGAAGATACCTCGGATACATAGTTTTGCCAGATTCTTACAAGCTTACTTGATGGAGATCCAGAGTAGACTTCATTTTTCCTCTTCTGGGAAGCAGAGCCTTCTCTAATGGGTGAGGTATCGGTAGCCGTAGGAGATATGGGCGAAGCAGGTTTCATCTTCTTAAAGAATCAACTTCGCTCTTGAGCTTTTCGTTTTCTTCGTCCTTGGACTGTATTTACAATCTATGACTATGAATTAGCTCATTGTGAGATTTTACGTGATCTTTTCTGAGTTTCCCTGTAGCTTTGTTGAGTTCTCGAACCTTTTCTTCAAGTTCAAGAACGGGCTGTTAAGCTCTAGACTAAGCTTTTAGAACTCTTCAGCTTTCTGACTTGACAGCTGTGATGCATATCGCGCCATTGATCCCGGTCTTTAGTCATAGACGCGAGGGCTTGTTCTCGTGCCTCCTTTTTACTCTTAAATGACATGATATCTTCATAGAGTGTACTTCGAAGTTTGACCAATTCTGTTTGGGAGGTTATGGCTCCTTTTATCGTGCCAACCTGATCCCGGAGGATTTTTACCTCACTATCTTTTGCTAGACGATCTCTCTTGAGTGAAGCAATTTGTCCTTCATGTTGGGCGCAACTCGGACAAGGAGCTACTGGAACTTTGGCAACCTTCAACAAGTTTGTGACAAATTCATTTTGATAATTTAGAATATGTTCCAAGTGGCGCGCATGTTTGTTCTCCATGTCAGCAAGCTGTTTTATGTGAGATTCCCTGATTTGATCAAGGTGATTGTTGTTCTCTTTTTGATGTGCTTCATCGATGGCTTTTTGGTCCTCTAACACTTTCTCATAGTCAATACTTTGAAGCTGTTGTATTGTCTGACTTTGATCAAGTAGCTGTTGAGTCAAGTTGTCACGAGGGATTATGGTATTCTCAAGTGCTTTAATCATTTCGTCACGATTGATAACAGTCTTCTCCAGAGCAGCGATCTGACGGTGCAAAGTGAAAAGATTATTGTTCAACTCGCAGACGCGTGTTTTCAACTTAGAAACACTCTAATCAACCTTTGATTTCTCATTTGAGAGTGTCAAGACTCGGTTCTGAAGAGTGGAAACTCGAGTATCTAGTAAAGCTTTTTCGGCTTGGAGCGTGGATTTCTCGAGCTCCAAGGTATCTCTTTCTCCAGTCACACGAGCCAAGTTAGTCTTTTGCGCATCTAACTGTACCTGAATTGAGCCTTTCTCGTAAGAAGTGTATCTCCTACTCTCTTCAGGTTGTCATTTTCACTTGAAAGGGTAGAAATCTCACCTTCTTGGCTTTTTACCAAATCCAACAATCTCTCAATTTCATCTGCCTAGTCTACGATTTTTCTCTCTTTACCAGCAGATGCCCTCCCAGTTTTGATGGCATTACCAATAGCCTCTTTCATGGACGTAAGAAATTTATCATTTGATGATTTCACATTGTCGTCAATGGTGGCCTTTGCCGAGGTAACAAACTCATCAATCGATGCCTTGGTTTTCTCTTCCAGGGAAATCTTGACTTTATCCACAGAGCTGTCAAGGGTAATACTTGCATCAGTTATGGTTTTTGTTACAGACTTGACCCCTTCATCAATTACCGAGGTTGCGGATCTGATAGATTCGTCTAAGTTCTTGACCCCTTCCTCGATAGAAATCTTCGAATCATCAATCGACTTCTTTGCTTGTTTGAATGTTTCATCAATTGACTTCTTGGACGAATTCGACAGTTGCTCCATCGAATCAGTTGATGACTCAACCGCTTGGACAATCGATGCTTTTGAAGAGTCGGCAAGTTTCAATCACGGAATTCATTGAAGACTCAGCAACATCATTGATTGATGTCTTTAAAGTCTTCATAAACGCGTTCAAAGATTCTGGATTGGACTTCATAACCTCTTCGGTAGCCTCTTTATTTGACACGGAGACTTGTTGAAACTTCTTCAACAATTCATCAAAAGCCTTTTGAACGTCAGAACCCACTGATACATTTTTGATACGCTGTGAAAGTTCCTGTTCTCTATTGGACAAAGTATCTTTTTTAAGTTGGAGTTCTAAATCAGATTTTCTGGCAGCTTCTTCTGCTGCTTTGAGTTGCTCATATTTTTCTTTGAGTAACACACAAGATACTTTCTGTAGAATCTTATCACGAGACGAAGTTTTGACATCGCGAATGAGGTGGCGGAGGATAGCAACAACATTTTTGCTGTGCTCTCCTTCCAATGCCTCGTACTTCTTTTGCATACCAATCACGGAAGCATTTAAAGCCTCAAGATCTGGCAAGAAGAAATCATAATCATGAGCTTCAAAAGGCTCTTTATATAGAGGATTATCCCTCATCAACTCCATTTCTTCTTCTAATGAATTCATTTTGATGAATGATGAATGTTTGATGAGAAGGATCGAAGTGTTTTGGTTGGAGATACACGATGAAGAGCTTGGGCACATTGTGATTATGTCACAGTTCTCTAATACTAGATTCAGTAGACATACCTACCTACCTACCTAGGCAGGTAATACTCCATTTGTTCAAGAGGATGACCCGTAAGAAACATGAATTGGAAGTATTCCTTTGTCAATCTCGATGCAGGAGAGGCATATGAAATAAATGGAGAATAACTTCGCCAGGTTCGTTCACATTTTACACTGATGAGTATAGTAGGAGGTTTCATTCACATAGCACAATTTGACCCAGCCTTTACTCAAAGTCCTTCTCAACTGAACCATGATAACTATGAACAGAGCCTTTCGTACTCATAAGTGACCACTAGTCTAATGTTGATCTAGTTTAGAATTTGACTGATAACTAGTAGCATGACCTTTGCCAGTTCCAGTCCTTCATCTGGATTACCAGTGGAAACTTTCCGGGTACGAGTTCGAGGAATAGTATCTTGAGAGCTCTAAATACAAGTCAATTCTGCGTGAACTTTTCCACTTCAAAGCAAAAACTTTACGGGGATTTTTAAACCTTCATCGAAAAGTAATCTCCTGTCTTTGGCCTTATACCCAACCACAAATTTGCACATTTGAGAACTAATGAACGGTGTGTATAGATATTTATATAAATTAGGGGATGAAAGGATACCGTAAGTAGTAACATAAGATGAGGAGGAGTAGTGGAATTGAGTATGGAGCATAGGCTATTCCTTCAAGTCCTTTCAGCACCAAGCGAGATCAAAATGTAACGGAATCAAAGAGGCAAACCATTTTCTATTCCCAGCGTACCTACCTAGTAGATAATGAAACGAAAATCAGCATCTAAGGAATAACATAACTTTGAGGCCTGCGGGCTTTCACTCCCCGCACCCCGCATCTCAATTTCAATCTGGTCCTAATGTCCTATAGTCTGAACTGTAGCCGGACAGATTGTTTTGAAATCTCAAAATATTTCAAAAGTTGAAATTATACCAGATGTTTGAAAAGTCTTGAATGTAGACTTAATTTGAAACAATATGGGAGGTAGGAGGGCGGCTTTTCCTGTACATCGAGGATCAGACAAGAGAGCCGGATTATCCCATCATTATCCCTCTCTAGGTAAACAACTCAGTCAATCTGAGTTGGCGATTTTGGTGGATAGAAGATATCCTCAAATACAAATTGATCGCTTCAATAAATTTCCAATCCCTTGTTTGTCCAAGAAGATTCACCGTTTTTCTTCTGGTTTTCTTCTGGTCCAACGACTCTTTAATGCAGCAAAGGCAAAGTAGGTGAGATGGTAGATCTAAGAAATCTAGAACAAAGCGCTTCTCTTTCACTATATCAACTCACTCACCAAATCGTCAAAATTTGGAAGTTTGCAGTATTAATTCTCTTTTTACGCAAGACGTCCGACAGGTACGTGTGCAAGACAAACGAGGCTCGTCTTTCTACTCGTAGAATGATGTTGATGTGTTTACGGTGCATACCGAATCTCGCTCTCGAATACCTCTTCTACATCCAGATTATTTCAAACAGTGATGGACAGTGAGACCAAGGAGTTGATTGGAGCACAGCAAATGTGCAACCAACAATCAAAGATTCGCCACAAGTTCCAATAAGAAACAAAGTCATATTTCCGACGAGTCCAAAGGATAGCACAAGTCAAGATACACCCTCAAGGTCCCCGCACAACCCTCAAAGATGGGGATTATCATTCTTTCCATGGGAGAACGTCGAGAACGCAATCAATTCATCCAAAATACTATTTTCTCATGTGCGACTACATGAAATAGGGAAACATCGCGCAGCTTACTAGAAATATGATCATGGAGATGGATAGGAATCTCCTTGCCATTCCTCCCAAGGTACGCGCTCCTCAAATTTACATTTATTGAGATTGATTGCGAGTGTTTGACTTACCCCGTTTATGCCTACCTGGGTATTTTTATATCCACAGCGACACTCGTACTTGCGCACTCGCATATACTTACACAGGTACTTAGCTTCAAGAAGGCGGCACTTGCGGACCCTCATACCATTAAGGGCGCGTATGAACTAGATGGGATCTGATGGTTGGTTGCGAAAGAGGTCGGAAGTGCGGCTGAGTTTGGGTTAGAATGACGAGGGAAACGATCGATAGGAAGGTTCATGAATTACTAAAGCCAAGACGAGACACCTGTTGGATAAAGTTGGCATGCAGAGAAATGCAAATACAAACTCAGATCCCTTTACTTGAATGAGCAGAACTTATGCTAACAATCTTATCTTTCAGACGTCCTGCCTCCCTGCCAGAAAACCACGCGGTCATCCAAGACCATCAACGATGAACACACCCCATCACAACATTATGAAACAGCAAACTTTGCATTTCATGATTCTCATTATTATCATATGCTATCTATAAGCATCAAAATTCCACCTCTTCCCAAACAGGCAAATCGATATCCACAACAATAGGTTTATTGAACCTCTTCCCTCCCGTTCCTTTTCCATGAGGCCAACTAGAAGCCATCAACGCCGCATTAATCACACATGTCTCCTGTCGTCCCATTCGTCCACATAGAGCTTCTACATCACAACGTAAAGATGGTGGTACTCCACCTTGTCCTCGAGCCGGTGAAAGTATCACCTCTGGTATCGCGAGTAAAGTTTTCGCTACATTTGAGATTGCCATCTTAGCCATGGAATTGTTTCGATGCCATTTCTTTTGACCTTTTGTACTTTCTTCCGGTAAAAGTGGGAGGCCACTTCCAATTGATGTTGTTAGGTTACTGGTACTAGCAGTAGATCCAAGTGGTTGATTCTCCCAATCTCCAAAGGCCCCATCGTTCTTGAAAACATTTCCTCCCATTCTTCCTTTTGAAGTCAAATCGATATGAGACATTTTATTATTATCTTTACCCGGATCTTCCCAACGAATTACACCATTCTCTTTGAATTTAATATTCGAAGACCCAAGATCCCATTGGATTATTTCTGCACCTCTTCCTTCATGAACATGTCCACATATTGCCAATCGTGGACGAATTCTCCATAAAGCTTGACGTAAATATTCACATCCAGCAGCCACACGATCATTCCTTTCATCGCAATGATATTTTGGCGGTGTGTGAGTAAGTACAATATCCACATCTAAAGGAATATCATCCCATCTTTTGGAAGCATCAGATTGTGGATAACCGAAAGCCCACATTCCTTTTGCCGGGGAAAAAGGAGAACCGAAAATACGAAACGTAGTGTGTGGACCTGTGGGTGATGCTAAAGAAACTTCTGCCGCTTCATGATTAAGATATAGAATTGAGGGGGAACGATCTAACAATTCTTGACACTTATTGACATCTTGCGGGCTTTGTTTATGGAAATAAAGACCATACTGGAAGTAAAATGATGGATCGAGTGTTATATCATGGTTACCTTATATAATGATTAGTTGTTAATTTTGTTCGTTCGGAATAAATGAAGATGGAAATAGAACGTTTTTATGGGGTTGATGAATGTAAGGGATGGATCCCCTAGTAAACATAGGTAGATATATTATGCATACCAGCAATGATAATTTTGGCTTCAAAATCAGCATCTTCAATCCATTTGATTGATTTTTCCAACTCTGCATGATTTCCTTGATTTGTTAAATCGCCTGCATGAATGAGAACATCACCAGGTGGTAGTTTGAATGATCCATTTGCAACACCATTATGAGTATCGGAAACACAAACGAAACGGGTTTTGCGAGTACGGGTGGTTCGAGTTATTATAGGTATATGAGGTTCCGGAGAGGATGAAGTAAGATAAGGATTTTGTGGTTCAGAGGATGATACAGTAGTACACGAATCTTGAGAGTGATGAGAAGGTTCATATGTTAGACGGTCGAGTTCATAGGAGGGATCGATCATGTTGGAATATCTATATGAAGTATCCCTCTCTGGTGATGAATGAGTTAGGATTTTGACAGGTCAGGGGTATGATAATGGCGAGTAAGGATAAGTACAGAGTGGTAGGTAGGTAGGTGGGTAGGTAGGTAGGTCGGTATACTGGTTGGTACTGTGGTTTGTAGGATGATGATGGTTATAGGAAGAGAGAAGGCACGAAGAAGGTAGTAGTAGCCTTACCCGTTAGCTAGGTAATATGCTAATGCCACATTTTCTTGATGTATAATTGGTCTAATGCGCAAGGGAAAAGACCAACGTTCTAGACAAGGCTGGAAAGGGAGGGAAAAGGATAAACCTATGTATTGGGTTGATTTGACGAAATTGCCTCGATGTCTTGATTTCTTGCCTTATACATACTAATACTCACCCGGATGCTACCCAGTATGTATTACATAGACGACATCTAAGAATGATATTCATGAATACCTTTGTCTCTTCTTCTCACCTCATCAACGCATCACCTCACGCTTTACTCACACCTTGCTCACAGTGACCCTTACTCACTCACATCTCACTCATGCCTCCAACCTTACATCTTATACCTCACACACCTCGCCTCACACACTCTCTCTCTCTTGCATTGATAGACATTGAACATTGACATTCGGAGAAAAAAGGATTACTAGGAACCAGGGTACTTCAAAGTTTGTTTTTATTGAACACAGATCAAATTACCGGTCGGATACCTTCTCGACCACCTGCCAAAGTGTTTAACCAATACCAATCCTGGTCTGTATCCGCTTTTCAACAGTTAAATGGGCACATTGGGTCACGATGATTTGTTCTACCAATTCAAGCCATTTGGGAGTTCTTTGGTCCAGTACCTACCTACCTACCTACCTACCTACCCACCTACTCCGTAATATTTGACAAAGTCTTTCATTTCATTCGTTGATCCACTGCATAAACTGGTCTTCGGTATGAACGATGAGAATGATACCTACTAGGACGGACTGGTGGACTGATATAAATGTTTAAAATGCTACCCGGTACTCACTCACCTCTCCTTTCGCCAGACTTAAGATTATTTATCATGATTTCTTATTTCCCTTGTTCAAAAGTAGGCAGTCTTCCGTGTACCTCGCACAGTTTGATAGCTTTTCTTTTTTCTTATTCATTGTTCATTATTTTTCTGCTTACCTAGGTACTCACACTCAAATTACCCGTTCATTCGATCTACCTCCCTAGGGACCTAGCTAGCACTTAGTACCTTGTTCATTAACCGTTCGGAGTATTCTACTCCAACTCTCTTCCAACTTCTTCCCCAGCAGCCGACATCTTCTCAAACCTCTTCTCGCTCTCACCAACAAAGAGGGCGAAAGGAAGAAAAGAACTGTGTTGGACCGGTCAATGGTCATCAGTCTCAGTGCGGTCATTCACCAACAGCTTCAATTATCTTCATTTCGGCATTACTTATTCACTAAATAATTTAATTGGTCGGTATAATCGCCGTTGTGTCTCTGTTTGGCACTGCCGCACTGCAGACGCACGTTCACCAGTCCACTACATTCACTACTACATACAGAAAGTCTCTCCTATTTTCCTATCGACCAACCCAGATGATCAAGAAGGATCTATCCAACAATTGAGTATTAAAGATTCATTCAGGAAAAGTCTGGTTGTAATTTGGATTTGTCTGGTCATACCTTTATAAAAGATACGAAGAAAGAGATCATTCGTTCCGCCCATTCGAAGAGATTGAGGCAACTTCATTCATATCAATTATAATACAAGACATCCGGATACAAAAAGATTGATTGGAAAGCATTGGTAGGAAAGAATTGAATCACTCTTAGGGTGAGAAGGTCGTTTTCGACAGATCTTCAAATCTTGGAGTAAAAGGTCTTGAATCAGTATGGCAACGATCTCTACATCGCAAGCCCATACCAGCTTGACACCACCAAGTAGTTCTCACGGTCAAGATTCTTGGAATTATTCTGTGCCAGTAGAGGTAAAAAATTTAATCTTATGGTTACCTTCGGCTTTTTTTAGAGTTGTTATGCTAATTAAACTTTCCTTCAGCCGACCTCACCTTCTGCCGTCACCGACTATCATAATCATAATCGACAAATTTCCCAAACCAACGGTTACCCATTGCGTCCAAGTACCGAAACCTTTGGTCCTCGCCTCGATCATAACCATTTGGCTCCAGCTCGCGCAAATGAATTAAATCGACAGAATAGTGATATCAGCGATACTCCTAGTGCTCCTGATAGTTTATCGGATTCATATGGAAATAACAAAGGCGGTCGAAGTATGGATTCTGGGGGGAAGAAAGGTATGAACGGTGGCACGTATGAAATGGATGACGTGGAACATTCCAGGTGGATTCACAGAGATAAATTGGCCCGAATTGAGAATGAGGAACTACAAGCAGCTGGTATACCGATACCTCGTCCAAGAACAGGAAGTAAATCTAGTCGACGGGATCGTAGTCAAGATGCCAGTAACGCCATTCGAAGTGAGGGACAAAAAAGGCAGAAGATGGGCGCGAATGGAGATGGAGAAGGTAATCCTTGGGACTTGCGATTACCTGAAGAGTCTGCTGGAGATTTAGGTACGAAAGGTATATCGAAAATACCAATATCGAAAACGAGTCCCTTACCAATACCGATCGATTACCTTGAACGAGATACACCTATAGCTCGAAAAACAAGCAACAATTGGTATGATGAGGAGGACCCATTGTCATTCAAGCAAGCAAGAAGTCGGAGTCATAGTGTCAAAAGTTCACTTATACTTGATGATGCTACACCGTCTTCTTCAACTGTTCCAATGCCTACTCCCGCTAGGGTATCACCTACACCTACTCGTGCATCACCATCCGAACGATCTCCTGCCAAGAAAGCACCAGGACGGAAAGGATCTATTGGCGCAAATGCTGCACTTCCCGGAGGTAGACAAACATCGGCACAAAGACAAAAACAAAAGCCTAGTGGAACAAATGCGCCAGATATACGACCAAAGACTCGTTCAGGTGACATAATTAATACATCAAAACGACCTGAAGGTGACCCACCTTGGCTGGCTACTATGTACAAACCTGACCCTCGATTACCTCCCGATCAACAAGTAATTCCGACTCATGCGAAACGTATGCAACAAGAACAATGGGAGAAGGAGGGTAAATATGGAAATGTTTATGACACAGATTTTAGGCCATTAAATCAACAGGAATACAGACCACGCCCTGATTCATTTTCTCCACCACCAGAAGGACCAGATGGACCAGAGGAACCAAAGTCGGAAGAACAAGCTCCAGAATGGCCATTAAGTGGTCCACAATCTCCATCACCAGTTTCTCCAGTATCACCTATTTCCGCCATGACTCCTAAATCACCTACATTAAGTACGGGTCGAAGATCACCAGTGGAAAGAGCATCAAGTTATAGCACAATGCCAAAGATCGCAACTGGAAAACCGCAGGGTGTTAATATTCCAGACCCTAAACCACCAATTCGTGTTCAAGATTCTCCTGAGTCGAGCAAAGGTTGCGGTTGTTGCGTCATCATGTAATTTTTTGAGAACGGATGTGGAATTCGTTCTTTTCACCAATACGGAGTTTTTTCCCTTTTTCTTTTCTGTGTAAATTGGGCTAAGCATGCAAGCAAGCAAGTTTAATGGCGTTTGGGGAGTTGATGGATTCATACTTGACTTGAAGACTAGGTCTGAGCGATCGCCAATTTTTTTTTTTCATTTCATTCATTCGTGGATAAACACATCATCAAAGAAATTCATAATTACTTGTTGAAACTTTTCCCTCTGCATTAATTGTTTATTGAGATCCGAGATTTGTGCTGGGCACGCGACACAACATTAAATTTCATTGATGTGGTAGTGGGGGAGGAGGAAGAATCAGATTAAGATGGCGGGTGAGGGGGAAAGGAGGAGGGATGAAGAGAAGAAAGGATTGATGACGAATTTTATGAATTTTCCACACACTCTCACAGAGCAAATTTCCTAATAATTCTATCTTTGTTTTGTGCCGTCAGGGGTGGCTTGACTCTTTTTGTGTTTTTTGTTTTGATTCCCCAAAGCGATTTTCAAAGATGCGACATTGGGTGGCTAGGTGGAGGATGCATGGGCACGAGGGAAGATTCTGATGGTAGATGTGAAGGAGAGTGGGCGGAAGTGTTGCAGTTTGGATTGAAGGGGAAATTTTGACGGTGAGGGACGGAAGGGGGCTTGAGGGAGAGAATGGATAATTTCGAACCGATTGCTACCTTATGCTCGGTATTGCTTCTAGGATCCAGGGCGGCTACAGTTACAACTATCGTAAATACGAATGCGAATGTGAGCGATATTTTTCCATCTTTGTACTGTGGCGGTTGGAGATCAGGGTCAAGCAGGCAGTTTGATTGGGGTTAAAAGGAAGGATGAAAGTAGAGGGAGAGAGGGATAGGGTAATGCGAAAAGAACAGGGGAGGCAGGGGGTCAGGAAGGAGTGGGAGTGGGAACATACATGCTAGGTACTAGACAGCGAGTAGATGAGTACCTAGTATGAATATAAAAAATATTGAGAAATTGAGATATCCTCTTCATTCATGTACACACCCATGTTGATCTGTGTTGCTCAAGTGAGTAGCAGTAAGCAATATAGTCGAGGAGCTCCATAATGCAACACTAATTGAAAACTTTCATATCGATACAAAGAAACGGGAAAGTTCTTGTGTTGTGCTTGAGCCGCGAGAAACTTCTGAGTGGGTGGATGTGTAGATGAGTTCATAGACGTATGTTGTCTTGGTCTGGTTGAGGTAAAGGAGTGGTGCGCAGTGTCTGTGTGCTGTGAGTGTAGATGCAAAAGGTTTTCATGATTTCGGGAGGAAGAAGGGAGTGCGAGGTTACAAGTCTCGGGTAGAGATAGATAGAGTCTGATTTAGTTGAGCATCGATGTGGAGGTTGGAGATGAAAGTCTGCAATCTATTTTGTTTCGAGGAAGAGATCTGGGGTTTGGGGTTTTGCGGGGGCTACGGGGATGAGGCGCTGTTGGTTGATGTCTGGGAGGTTTTGGTGTGTTATTGTACGGGGGAGCGGGGGTCGTGATAGGGATTTTGATCGCATGGAAATGAAATCTTCGTTTGTTAGTATATCACTGCGTCTAAGTAAGTTTAACTGAGTTCATTTCAGAGAAATTTTGTTGCTTGATTTTAAATCGGGTCAAGGTTCGAGAGTCACAATTGATTGGCATGAATGGGATTTTTGCTTACATATGAATGTGTTTTTGAGTTTATTTTTTTGGTGTTTGGGTTTTTGGGTTTTTGGGTTGATAGTTGAGAGAGCGACAGAAGAAATAAGGAAACCTGTATCCGATGAATGACAAAGGAAACAATGAAAATCTATTTCAACAAATGAGAATTTATAAAGGAACGTGGGTAGCTAGACCAGCTCAGCCATTTTTTTTACTCGTTTTCTCACCTATCTTCGATTTTCTAGCAGCGAGACCAGCTCAGCTACTTCTCTCTTCTCTCCGACCTCTCACCGAATTTCTCACTTCCGGATCCGTTAACCCACAATTGCAGAGCAATCATGCATTAACATCACCATCGATGATTCTTTGAATGAGCTGGAAGAGTTCATTTGCCTTGATCTGCAAATCTCCCTTTCCAGTCCATCGATCCGGATGCCATCTCAGCCTCTCCTTCTTCATCATCTTCTCATCGAAAACTCCGCTTCCTCTAAGCGTTAATTCGACTTCGTGATGACACACCCCGAGAATCTCTCCCTGCACACAGTTGTTTCGCGCACACCCGTGTTTCTTGAGTCGAGGAAATTCTCGCGTGTTATCCGTGATGAATGCCGCTGCCGAAGCAGAGAATTCATCGAATGCGTTCCCGTAGGTCGCCCGGTCCGAGGTACTCCATTGCTTGGCATATTCCCACTGGGTCATGCTTTCGAAATGTTTCTTTTCCTTGCGAGCTTCCTCTTCGGCTTCGCGGCGAGCTTCTTGACGGTGTTTCTTCTCGGCCGCTCGCTGGGCTTTCTCGGCTTGTTTTGTTTGCTTGGCGGTCTTGGGCTGAGTGCTTCCTTGGAAGAATTGAGGGTTTCCGGATGGAGTCCCGGGGCTGGATCGATGGGTTCGGGATCTTCTGGGTGGGGATTCCTGATACCATGTCTCTTCGCGGGAGTGGGATTGGGCTTGATCGTAAGCTTCGCGGGCGGCGCGGGCCTCGGCTTGACGATCGGCGTTGGAGAGATTGGCGCGGCGGGCGCGTTCTTCGCTTGTCAAGAGCTCCGAGGTCCAGGGTCCGGATCGGGAGTGGGTCGAGGGTCGTTGTTGCTGGGTTCGTTGGTTCATCTCTTCTTCTTCATCTATCGGCGAGTGGCTCCAGAATCTGGAAGTCATTCTGGCGGTTGCTGGGTTGTCTGGTTGAAGTATGGATTTCGTTGTGTTTGAAGTACTTTGAAGAGCTGGAAAGATGTGGTAAGTATTGTAGTAAGTAAAGGACTATGGAACTGATGAGAATAAGTATGAGTAGAGATTATGTTCATATATATACGGCAGCAAGTGGGATTGTTCAATTTTAGTTCAGACGTATTGATAGTTATTCCAGGAGGAAGTCGAGGATTAACAATAGCATTGTTCAGAAATTCCTTTGTGGGGGTGAAATCCATTGTACCGAAGTCTTTTGTCGATGAAGTTTCCTTGTTAGAGACTGAAATCTCTTTGTTGGGTCCGGGTTACGACGAGGACAATGCCAGAACAAAGGTCCAGGGCGAGCTCCAAGAGGGGTCCCAGGGTACCAAGACAAGTCAATTCAGACCGCGCTGGTCTGGCCCTGAGCCACCTCTCACTGCTGATACTGACCAATTACCGAACCACAATTCGGAAGCGTTATAGTCTCGCAATCGACACCTTGTACGGCAGTGAAGTATACGCTAGACTACAGCCTCAGTGTCTAGCTCAGATACAGTCTACCCTATTTTTAAACATGGTTTTTGTTGCATGCCTGCAATCTTATACCCCATAATAGACCAGATCCGAATTCCCCACACTTTTAATACGCACGAGAAAACCACACCACTCAGAGTAAGCCTGGATATTTTTGGGGCTAATCTTCTTTATCTAACAAGAAGAGAGCCTATGTTTATCCCCAGACTTTACGATTGATGGGATTATGTGGTCAAGTCTGCTTAGCCGTCTCATTAAAGGCAATTGGAAGGAGAATTGTTGAATTTGGGTAAACAAAGGGGGATTACAGGTATTACTATACAATCCAATCATGAGCAGATTGTTAGTGATGGCGACCCGGACATTATTTCGCATTTCCGACGAGGTATGAAATTTGGAAGGCTATGAAAGCTTTCGAGCAAAACCTTTTGGATCGATGGTAGTCTGGAATCCTTGATCGGGGGAGTAGAACGAAGAGATCTAAATCCGATGGTAATCATGCCATGGGGGGCGGGGGGAATGTGTATATTCAAAATTACAAGCCAAATGCAATCAGCGCTCATAACATTGAAGAAAAAATAGTTGACAATCTGGCCCACTACTGGGATAAGTGGCGCAAAATAACAATGACTATATTCAAGAAGCCGGAATCGACAATTTCACGAATTACAAAAATGAAATATACGATAACCGAATGAACTACTACTTGATAATTTCACTAACTAAACAACCTCTCTATTAATATCAATCAATCAAAAAGCTTTTAAAAATACTACACAATATTATCTAAAAATATAAGTTGCTACTAAAGATAGAAAGATTCTATATCGGAATACCTCCAAAACATATATTGTTATTACCAAACTCCCTAATTGAGGTATTCCACGAGTGACTTGAAGGATTCGGGTTGTCGGACCCTTTGAGGACTGGGCAATACTAAGGGCCTTAGGATTAGAGTTGATATGGGTAGATGAGAATGAACCAATACTTGACGAACGTGGTTTTGAGAAAGTAGGTGAGATATCTAACGACGTCGATATTTGGATTGAAAGGTGAGTAAGTGCCTGTACTCGATATACATACGTGAGACAATCCAAGGTCATATGTTGAGAGACATGATGTCAGCCTTGCATTAGCTGCCACGATGTGGAATCGGTGGTAGTCTCATGTTTTCATTTTGATAGTGATAGTACTTACATGCTTAATAGATATCTTGTTTTACGATGTCAATTTACTATAATTCTAGGCCAGCAGCTATCTAGTGATATTGCCTTGCTTCCTACTGTTAGCCGATCCTTATATAGCGGGGCACTTGTAGTTGTTTTGAATTTACTTTTATTGGATTCTTCTTGGTAGACTTGGGCTCTCCAGTAAGCTTACCTTGAGAGTGAAGTGAACTTTGAGGTCAGACTATCAAGTTCATAGTCATGCAATGAAAGCAATCTTACCATGTAGCTATAAAGGATTCCTGTGGAGTTGATATCGATTCACAGCTTGCTTACTCTTTCGGGTATGGCATTGGAGTTTGGCTCTCGTCAAGGTTAAAAGAGAGAAATAAGAAAGATAAAAGTGAAAGACATCATAATTCTAAGACTATTGCAACAAGTGTCGCCCTAGCAATCTTTCAGCCAAATGGTTCCGTTGATTTTTCGAAATCTCAAACAACTCAGCTGTAGCTATTTCACTGCAAGTTTGACACAGATAGGTCACAGCAGAACGTTTTCATTGTTTCAGATTTGCCTTGATTGCAGGAAGAAATATCCATCCGTCAAATATTAAAGAATTGAAATGACAAATCCTATCCTATCTCCTCCTCGCTTTTATCTTCCGCATTCCAGCTTTTTCAACCACTCATTCTTGTGGTGACTACAATTCAACTTGACCACCCCATAAGCGCTCGTAAAACTGAGTCCTGAAGCTCGTCGGCTTCTCGCTACCGATGGCGATGGTAATCTTTTCTGCGAGATCGCTCCAGAAATCGCAGCTCGCCGCGGCCACCTGATCATCGGATCCAAGAGAGTAGAATGGGTGTCTAGGATTGGAATACTGCAGACCAACCCTCAGTGCGTTTGTCAACACTTCACCGTCGTCAGTTGTTACTTCCCATGTGAGTGCCTGGCCCTGGGCGAGATAGTTTGGATCACCAGTCAGTGCATGACCAGCAAAGTACTGTTGGTATCTCGAAGCTAAAGGCACCCATATGTTCTCGAGGATTTGGGAGATCCAGTCAGGGAGCCGAGGAATTATCTGTTTGATAAGGCCAGCGACGTCGACCTCCTTGTTCCAAATTATAGGAAGCAAATCAGTACCGTGTTGAGCCGGTGGAATTTCGTACCGCATGGCATAGACTTTAGAGTTCTTCTTGTATGCCTGGAAAATCTGATAGTTATTACAAACGAAGGTTGAGTCGCGTAACACTGCCCTGAGACGCCTCTGTTGGTCATCATTGTATGTACTAGAGGGGTATTTGTCCTCGATTTTCTGCCTCACTTCTGCTAGTTTATCGCCCGGGAAGGCGAGAGTGACAAATTCTGTGAACTGGGCTGCGGTTTTAATGTCCTTGTCGGCGAAGAGCCTTGCCTCGTCGTACACGTGAGAAATTATTAGAGATTCGGTGCTAATGTGTTTGCCTATTCATGATTAGTGATGTTCTATCAGTAAATTGAAAAATCATAGGAGAGGATGAAAGCAGTTGCGTAGAAATTTGTGTACCTTGCTTGAATAAATTCGCTGGGAGGTCTGGCACCAGATCCCCATCAACAGCGGGTCCGAATGGAAACAATCCCAAACTCAAGCGTTGATTGACAACATTTTGATTAGCTACCTTCAGAGTCTCTGTATCGGCTTTTCTTAAGCACTCGAGAGCATCTTCGTCAGCGCACTTTGCTTCCGTTGTGAAGTTGAAGAAAGTTTCTTGCAAAACACCTGCTCGATCATACGACCACTGAAATGCCGGACTCCAGATGGCGGCCCTTTGGAAAAGAGATGTCCTCTTGGCACCACCATAGGCAACGAGGTGGTGGAGAATTGATCCTCCACCAGCAGAACTCCCCCAGGCACTGACAGCGTTTTTGTCGCCATTGACTTGACCAATGTATTTTTGAACCCAGTCCAAAAGCAGACGTTGATCATGTAGACCTGCATTAGGCTGAGCATTCTGTTCCATGTAAGAGCCACCCAAGAAGCCAAATGCTCCGAGTCGGTAATTTCCCGTCACCCAGATGACAGCATTATCGGTAGTTCTGCGAATACCTGTTCCGTCATATGCAGAGTAAGGTCCTTCTTGTGTATTGAATGTCGTATTTTTCCCACCGAATATGTAGGCTCCACCGTAGATGTAGACAATAACAGGGAGCTTTTCGTCACTCTTCTCCTCCAAAACCCAAAGGGGGACGTAGATATCGAGGAAAAGACAGTCTTCACTTTGGGTATCTTCTGGTGGAGGCTCAATAGTAGCGTTTGAATTTTTAGGAGGAGGAAAAGCTTGGATACAGTGGGCGCCGACACTGTTGTCTTGAATTTCCTTGTTGTTCTTGATGGCATCAGGATATTGAGGAGCTGCAAAGCGGAGTGGGCCAACAGGGGGTTTAGCGAATCGGACGTTTGAAAATCGAACAGTCTGGTTGTGCCAAGGCGTCAGTGAGAACAAAACTCAGCCGGATAAAGAGAGGGGAATGCATGAGTAATACAACAATCACTGACCTCTCCGTCGTCTCCGTAGAGTTCCCCCCTATATGTACCCCATGGGAGGGTCAATGTTGGAAGATCAGCTTTGGAGTAATATGACTTCCTATGTTTGGCATTGATGGTCCAGAAAAGAGCATTAAAAATAAGGAACAGGAAAGATTTGTAAAACATCTTGAGATTATGTATTGAGTTTGAGTTAGCACTCAAACTTTGACCCGTGATATAGCAAGCAAGCAGTTCTACAGCTTGGTTCTTATAGGATTGTATGGAGTGAACGTGCCTGGAGCTGGAAACATATGATGGAAAGATCGGCCCGTTGCACGCTCCCGTATCTCTTCTATTCTCACTAGCCGTATCACTACAACAGAACTGTCCGACTGCTTTCTCAAGTCTACAACTACAAGGTACTGTAATCATTCGAGATGGGAGTAGCCATGCAGATACGGCCAACTCTCTATAGCTATGGCATCTTGTGAGATGATTCGTTAGCTGCACCCCTTTTCACGTCACGTCATCCCATAAATGGCTTGAATATACAGCACAATATTCATCAAATCCATGTTATGATGATTTTACATAAATCTTCCGAATGTAACGAAGAGGTAAGTATGGCTAGGGCATGGTAGGGAAGTCTCCGAAACAAATCTGATATCGATCGAAGACGTAGACATGCATTAGTTTTGCATATGTAAAATTCGATAGTGTGTGCTATCTAGCTGCTAAGGGAAGGGATCTACAAGATTATGTCGCAAAGTGCGGGGCTGATC